GTCTGAGAAACAATTCAAACACCAATATATATGGTAAATTTTTTGTTAGCATGCAAGGTTATCGCTCTTTGACCTGTGACTAGACAGGTATGGTCAATAATGAACCTGAAGAAATACTTCTCTAGGGAAATCTTGACTCTTCAAGTTGTTCAGCTAATATGAGGTAATACAAATTAGGGACCCAATACACAAGAAAGAAATTAGAAATATTCAGAGGTAGATTTAAGCAGTTTAATAGTTGCAGAACTTTCCTTGCTCAATATAACCAGATACAGATAATGAAGAAAACAGGAGGACACTCATTATAGGAAAATCAAGGAGGGCAGGTAAGACAACATTCAAAACCAGGAAACATGCAATCAGCTTTTCTTTGCTTCCCACTGACATTCTAGGTCATCTGCCTTTATCACCCTGCATGTTTAATCTCACAAATTTGCTACTCGGTTCCATCAGTTTTAGACACTGATATTTTAGATAATTAGATACCACCTTTATTGGTGGTTAAATGATTGGGGATGGTTTACATTTAGAGCAATGAGGAAAGCTTATCTGTATTCAATTGTTTTAAAAATGTGTTTTTAAACAAAGATTAATAGCCTAACTAATTTCCCAAAAAGTCATTAAAGGTTTTCTTAATACTCTTTTCATTCTTTCTCTATACATTTCCTCCTTGAATCACAGTCAGAACTACTTAAACAATTACTAAAATTATGAGGAATCAGTGAATACTGGCCCTGGGGCCATGGTATTCATAGGTATAAAGAGTGGATAAGGGATACCGTGTAGCCAGCGCTCTCATATCTCAATCTATCTGCCACTTAGGTAGACATGGGTTCTAGAGAGTAATGATTTGGTCGAGCTTATACTTCTTTAAATTTCACACTGGCCATGGCCACCAAATAGAATGCAAACTGAGCACTACTCAACTCCCGGGGCAACTGGCCTGTGCTACATACAACTAAAAGGCTGCATGTGGCCCACTAGAGGCTTATCAGGTTCTTCTAGTAAGAAATCTCCAGCTGGGCACTAATTTGATGTGGTCTCAGTGATGATGAGAGTGCATTAAAATATCGAACAGCTAGGCAGGGGACTGCAATGCCAAAGTAATCGTTAAGAGACAGAAACAAGAAACAGCACAGGATCTTTTTATAAAAAAAACCTTTAAATATAGGTTTGAGCAATAGTAGACCAGTAATAGAATTTAAAATCAGCTCTCAACTTTAGAGGAGGCCTCAGTGTCTACTTACCCGTGAACAGCTAGCATGACTTCATACTTCAGGGGTACCACTACAGTCACTTTGTTACGCTTCAGATTGTCTGTGACCCCTTCGTTTTCACTACAGAAGCAAATAGAAAACGCCCTGTCAGAATCCATCCAGCACAAAAAATCATCTTTGGAGAGAACTAATTACATGCTATGTATAACTAATATACTTGGAGGTTGGTTTAAATTATGCTTTTAGGGGAGTGGTCATGAAAGTGGAAGTGATAGGAAGAAATTTTTATGACAGGGTTTGCAAAAATTTGCTCTCATTATTTATACTGTTATTTGCTTCTATGCTGGTTAGAGGGTTTTTTGTTTGTTTCTTTGATCACAGAAGAGAAGTTTACTCCAGGTAATAGAACACAGCTCCATGGTTCCACTAAGGTCTCTCGACCTCCATCCCCCCCAAAATCAGGGGTCCATTTCCCTTAGTACAATTATTTTTTCACAGTGAAATATACCAGGCGGCATGCACTGTGATGTTGAGATCCTCTTCTGCTCTGCTGAGTGAGCTCGCATCCAGGAGAAAGCTAACATCTATCTGTAAAACACAGAGAAGGAAAGCTCATTTTAAAAATAATCTAAAAAATATATTTTTTTTATCATCTGAATTTAAATTTTTCTTAGTTTTTCTGTGGAATGCAGATTTGTAATTATATTCTAGAGTATAGGCTACCCCTCATTTGGGCACTGAGCTATAAGGAAGCAGTTGGGTTTGTGGCAATTTTAAAGCATCAGCATTTCCACAAGTGACATTCAGAGACAAAGCCTCTGAATGTAAAGACAGGCAGGTCTAGACTGACAAAATTAGAGATGCTTCAACAACTTGAGTGAGGACTCTTGCCAGAAACACCTTTTTGTATAGCAGAGGTAACATGCCTGGCAGATAGGACCACCTGGGGTGGGGGGAGTGTTGGAGAAGAGTGAGACGGGAGCATAATTCTGATTGACACATTCACATGCCCATCTTGACATAAATATGTGTTCCTTCCCCCCCTTTTTTTAACAGTGAACATTGCCAAGAATATAAACACAGTCTTAAATAAAGATCTCAAGCCCAGTTGGATTTGATAATAATAAATTATATATTTGTATGTAAACACAGGAAAAATAGAAAAAATTCTATGTTGGTAAACAAAATTTATAAATGCTAAACGCTTACCCTTGAGAGATGATCTACATATATATAGCCAACACTGCAGTCAAGTTTTACTATGCCAGAGCTGTCTGTTACTTCACAATTTATTTGCTTCTCTTCCTAAAAAAAAAAATAATAATAATTGGTTTAGGTAGGAAGGGTTTGTAACATGTTTAAGGATGGTTTTTTGGGGGAAAAATCATCCCCGAAGAATGTGTTTAAGATATTTAATTGCGATAACTGTAATCACAATAGCGTGTATATCCATACATGTATATTGAAATATTTAAGGGAAATATACATCTCTATGTATTTGTATATGTATAGATACATATTTCCCTGAATATTTGAGCTTTCCCTCTTACTATTGCAAATAGGCTCTTAACACTCCAGAGAAAGGAGGTAATAAATATTTGTGAGAGATCAAAGGCATCTATCAAAGGCCTCTCTAAATGTCCTTGGTGTGAAGAATTGGTCTCTGGATGAGAGATGGGTAAGTTTGCTAAGGGATAGAGAAGAATCCAAAGAGAAAGCAGTTGAGGTTTTGTCTTTGAAATTCAACCTTATTAATACCTCGCTGGTGGATTTAAGTGCTCACAACTGAGGAACAGGGTTTAAAAAAAAAAAAAAAAAAAAAAGGTCCCTAGGTGCTTTGTACCCCTTTAGGAAAAGAAACTTGCTTACAATCTGGTTGACACTAGGATTTTGGAATTTATGGAGGATTGCTATTCTAGCATGTTGGAAGTCCTTTGGGAACAAGACTGAGTGTGAACTTCAGATGCAGAGTGGTAACTCTGGAAGCCCAGCATGAGGACCAATATTACTGTGCAGGAACCCAGTTAAGCAGCAGCAGATGAAGATGTACCGGTGAGAAAAGCAATGGCAACTGAGCAGATTGCTTGGATAACTGGACAACTGTTTCTCGTAGTAGCATTTGGAAGCAGAAAACTTACTCTCTTGATCTTGGCCAGATCCAAAGGTATTTGTCATTTTGATCAGGGGCATGGAGGAAGACTCAAAATCACTGGAAGCTGGAGTTATAAGTTTGAGTAAACCCCAGATATTTAGACCTCAAATTGATGAAGTGAATTGTACCATTTTTAAAAAAAATTAAGTAAAATGTCATGTAGTATATCATGCTAGTTGTTTGATACTTACCAGATCTAAAATCTTAATGAAGTAAAGACCAGTGGGTAGTTTGATATGCAGAGTTGTTTCATATGCGTCATCTCCAGCATTAAACAAGGACACGTTCAACATTAATGTCTTCGCACTTCCAACAGCAAGATAGGTTTTATTTTCATGTGGCCTAAAATTAAGTAATATTATTTAGTTCTCATTTGGGAAATAAAAATCCCATCTTCTCATTTATTTATGCCTGATATAAAATATTAATTTGGAAAAACAGCTAGGGGAAAATGACCCCGTGTAAGTAGATGCAAATCTATGTTAAAAAACACAATTTCCCATGTTTCAGATAAATTCAGTCAGCTATTACCCAAGTTTGTCTTTTTAATTAGTTATAATTAAACTAGTCTGCTTTCTGTTTTACTTTTCTGTTTAACTTCTTGCTTCTACAATTTTAACATATTTTCTTCATTGTCTTGCAGTATTTTTCTAAAAGCAAAGCATTTTTTTCTTTATCCTTGAATGGACATTGAGCTAGCTTCTGCCCAAACCAAAGGGGGAAATGAGAGAAACTGGGAGAAAAGATGACTAGAGAGAGTATTTTCACAAATATAGAAGATATTTTGGTGGAAGTGAATAGGCCATGAGAAAAGACTGCTTTGCCTAGCAAGTGAGTACAACTACAACCTGTTAGACTAGAATTTCTTAAGAAGCCTGGTCACCTCTACCAATAACTAAACCAGATTAAAAACAGAACTGCAGAAATGCTTCACCATCCTGTGAATTAGAAAGAGGAGACTGCTGCAAATCCAGACATATCAGAGTTCTAGGTGTGGCCGTAGTTCTTCTGTGGGAGTGCCATTTAACATCATTAAGCCTCGGTTGCCTCATCTGTAATAATAACTACTATTCAATGAAGATTTGGGCCATGCACAGTCCATGAAGTCCTCAGAACAACACTTTTATTATACATGAGGAATCTGAGGCTTAAGGAACTTAAAGTCTCAGGGCTAGAATTTTTAAAGTCTCAAGCAAATGTGAATCTTCTCACCTACGCAGCCCATTCTCTTTACCAAATGAGAGTTAAGAGTTGAATGCTAAAGAAAACATCAGTTACAGCATGATTCTATAAGCTTTCCTCAGAGACAGACATTCATAGATATCCAATAATTTAGAATTTAGAAAAAGTAGTTCTACCAGAGAAGGATGTGACCCAAAGCAAAATATCAGGTAAGGATAATCATAAGAAAGGTAAACATTCACCTAGCACTTTCAAGTTTAGAAAGTCTCTTCAATAATGTTTACATTGTACCATTCAAATCAACCTCCATATAGATTAGTGTTTGAATAAACTATTTCCAGAATACTTAATTCATTTAATAGTTAATCGTTGTGAATTAATATAGAGTTCTAATTCATTAGCATGGCATATGAGGCCTTTACGAACTGTCCCTGCCTCACTTTGCATTGCACTATTCATTCCTTTGTTTTAGCCATACTTATTTACAAAGAGGTGTCCAAACACACCATGGTATTTTGTATATTCAAGCTATCCCTCTGCGGTTGACATCTCTCTTCATGCACCTGGCTAACTTCAAGTCTTAGAAGTTCTTCTAGCCAGTACTCATTGCTAACACCCTTCACCCAGCATTGCACTCCCGCTAACGAAAGTGAGGTGTGGCTTCTACCCTCTCGCAAAGCACTCTGGGCACCCTTATCATGCAATATTTTAACACTGTCTGGTTTTTCTTACCACTAGATTTAAGTTCTGGAGAGAAGATGTTGGATCATGATTATCACTATTTTCTCAGACCCTAACAACATAGTGTTAAAAAAAAAAAATAGGTGGTATGGATGTGCTATCTACATTAAAACATTAAAAAGGACTGGGTAGTACTAAAGGAACAAAGCAGAAAAATTGGGGAAATTATTGGATAAGTGATAGTTAAAAGTTCATGGACTCATCATTATAAATTCTATCAAATTATAGCCATGTTTATCTGTTCTCAGTGTTACACAAATTCCACGTTTCATTAAGTAAGCATTCGTGGGATCTGTACTCCATCTATACAGCCTAACATTTTAGTGGCAATACAATTTGAGTTGACCAATGAATTAATGGCAGCATCCATACTGGAAAGAGAATAGTTTTTGAGAAGTAAATTATTCTTATGAACCTCAGAATGTGAAAACAAAATTATAATTTTGTCCCCATTTTTATACTTTTGTAATATAACTAAGAAATTGGACAGTTCACCTAACACCTAAAAGTTCTTCCCCTCTTATCTTGATTTTCTTTTATAAATTTATTTATCAAGGTAGAACACACATAGAAAAATGCACCTATCCTAAGTGTAGAGCTCAGTGAATTTTTACAAACTGAAATACACACATGAAACCAGCTCCCAGCCCAAGAAAAATATACCGGCACCGCAGAAATATCCTTACATCCCATTCCTTCAGTTACTCTTCCCAGTACAGACTGGCTTTGCCTAGTTTTATATTTCATATCAGTGGAATCAGAATATGTAATCTTTCTTTACTCAAAATGAATGTAATCAGGCTTCTTTTACTCAAAATTTTGTTTATAAGGTTAACCTTCTTTGGTACATACATTTGTAAATAGTTTATTCTCATTGGTATACATATACCACTTTGTAAACATACCACATTTACCTATTTACATTTTATCCATTCAGCTATCATTGGTGATTTCTAGTTTGGAGCTATCACAGTCTTTCGGTGAACGTAGATATGTAATTCTGTTAGGATTGTCTATGAGATCTTTATGGCTTTTTAACCCAGGATTAATTCCTTTAAATCTCTAAATCTTGCCTTATTTTAGCAACCAGCTTAAATTATACTAACAAACTACATTTAAATGAAATATACTATAAGGAACTATATTTAAATAACCAAAAATAAAGACATACTACAGAACTGTCATATAAAAAGCAAGCGTACTATAGAGTAGGAGTTCAAAAACTGCTGTCTGAAGGCTAAATTCAGACCTCTGCCTGACTTTGTAAATAAAGGCTTATTGGAATACAGCCATGTTCATTCATCTGTAGCCGCTTTTGTATGACACCGGAAGAGCCGAGTAGTCGAGATGGAAATCTCCACCCCACAAAACCTAAAACAAATGCTATCTGTCCCTTCTTGAAAAACGTTTGCCAGCTTCCGCCACAAAACAATCTGATTGAAAAGTATAACTAGTTTCAAAATAAGCATACACCATAACACTACTATATTTAAAATCTATTCTGACAAGAGTGGCTCATTTCAAACAGCTTGGGATGCAGAATTAGAGAAAATAATCCCCCAGTCCTCATAAACCTTTGGTTGGTACTTGAGACACCAAGGAAAACAGAATGAAGACCATGTCCACAGATAGCTACTCTAGCTCCTGATCCCTGGGTTTGAGAAGTTGGACATTTCAGGAAGGATGTATAATAACTAACAGCAGTAATTTTAAACCACAGCTATTATTTCAGGGTGGAAAAAATGGACTCAGTGTATTACTTCTCTGAACATTTCAGGGAATGGCTGCAATTTGCTCATTCCTGTGTTGTAAACTTCTGTGTTACATAAGTATGCATCTGCTTGGTGGCACTGTATTAAATGGCAGGGAAGAAATGTGTGGAAACATGGCTGTCCTACATTCCCCCTACTGTTCTATTATCATGTTACAACTAAAGGAACCTAGGAGCTTCTAAAAGTAAACTTCAGCTTGACATTAAAGTTTAATTAAGACTTGTAGAAGGGCTGCCTAGAAATAGACATTTATAAAATATTCTGGCTTGTAACCAAAGCATTAGTCACTGAACACCTTTGGGAAAGAAGCTGGCACTTAGACAAGCAACAGAAGGTGAAAGCACTGCATAAACAGCTAGGTTCCAAGACAACAGCAAATTAAAGAGAAACACAATATTCACATTTCAGCAGCTAGACTCCCGGTTTATTTTTCATTTTTAAGCTATTTTGCCACATTACCATAATTACGATACTACTTTTTTATATATACATCTTATTGTATCTTGATTCATTAACAAAGTGCCGTTGGAAAGACACCCACCAGCTTTTTATGGGAGACATAATAAAGGACCGGGTGCACATCTGGAAGTGCGACGAGGCTAAACCAGCTTTTCCCAGGAATCATAGTTCATTCTTCATTAAAACATGCATAATGCAGACTTGAAATTTACAAAGCAGCCTAGAATCCATGTAATTTAAACAAATCAAGGTACTTTGTACATACAGAATCATAACAAGTGAAAGAAGCAAAATAGGAAAAAGATGTATTTCAGCAACAAGGCTCTATGTTTGTCCTGAATGACTGATATTTTATTTTGCGAGAAATGCTCTCCAGGTCTTAGTATAATGAATGCACTTTGCCCCAATAAAATGAATTAGTGCTTCGTAGCTAATTTGTTTTTAATCAACATACTAGAACAGAATATGGTATAAACTGGTATGTACCTGTCTCAAGGTACATGAGTCAGTTATTTGACAAAACATAGCTTGCAGCAAATGGCTTATAGGCCCAAGTAAAATTTTGTTTTATGTATGTATGTATGATGTATGTATGTATATGTATTTTTACCATTGACTTCAAGGAAAAAATGCTGGAAATTTTTTGTCTACTGAAATACATTAGTTACCTGATATTTAGGATTTTATTGAACAAAAACGAACTCTTTGAAGTCTAGAGGAATACAGTGGAAGATTGAAAGACTAAATTAGGAATTAGTATGTTTTAGTGTATTAGGTATATAATCCATCCTCCCCAAACTCTGAGAGATCAATGAGGCATATATTCCTACTACCTCCACTTTAAAAATGGACAATTTTGTTAGACTAGCTCTTTGGGGACTATCAGTATAGTGTTAGATGTTGCATATTGCTCACTGTCTACCCAACAGTAACTTCCCTTCTTAGCTACTAACAGAATACTGGATTACTCAGGAAGTAGCATTCCCTTGATACTGCAGAAGATAAGCCCCCCAGTTCAGCTTCAGGGAATGAATTATGATCGCTCTAATATGATACTGATATGATACTGATGACTCCATTCTCTTTCAACCATGAGGGGTTCAGGGCTGAGCAGGTCTGGTTAATCAGAATAAGAAATCTACTAAGGCACTGCCCTTCCTGGAAAGGTGGCTTCAAAAAGAATTTTGCTCTTCTCCCTTTTCTTGCTGGGAAACTTGGTGCTGCTGCGGCCTTCTGGTGACCATAAGAGAAAAGCCAAGAAAACTGAAAAATAACTATGAATGCCCTGATTTGGTAGCTGCTCATTAAACCTGCAACCATCTCCTCCAGATAGCATAGTATGAAAATAATTGAATGCCTTTATTATTTAAGTCACTATTAGTCAGGTATTCTGTTACTTGCAGTTAAAGGCATTCTTAACTGATATGAAAATAACTGTTCAGGAAAAGCCTACACCACTTACCCTGGAAGCGTAACTGAATAGAAGTAGCATCACTTATATCAGAATCTATAGGAAAGACTAGATTTCAAACTGTCTATGTGATGACTATTTGTAATCTTAATAAAATATTTGTTATTCGTCATTTTGTTGTGTAAGTCCATTTGAATGTGATTTATTTTCCTGAGAGTATAGACATTCAGGATGAAGCCTCAACTTAATGAAAACATGAGACAGAGTGCATAAGCAGTGTTTAGTCTGCTGTTAGCAGTCTATTATTGCAGTCTTCGGAAACTCATATTCTTTACTGAGTAAATACATTTACCTAAAGCAGGTTTTGTAGCTCTGGAGCCTACCATGAGTGTTAGTGGAGTTATGCGTGGGAGAATGCAGAGAACATGTGGACACAATTTGTCTACTATTACTGAGAAGGGAGAGAGGACATCTATGTGAGAGAGGCATGTATTTGTCTGATAAAGTATAATTTACTAAAAATGCAAAGCAATTTGTGAGAATCTTTCACTGTGGGCCTAAAAAATTGATTAGAATAGTTTTCATTTGATAATTCTGCAAATAAGTTATTTACCAAGTAGAAATCACCTATAACTTGTATAACATGCAAAAGATGTAGGGCTTACACTTTACGCTGGCATTCATGCCACTGTAAATCTTATAAAACTGAAAACTACTGACCCATTCATAGTCAGCAACATTTTTTTGAGAAATAGAGACAAACTCTGGACAAATAACAGTACATATGCAGAAAATGTTTAGAATTCACTGGCAATATTTCAAACTAATACTTTGTTTTATCATGATTTATAAATACCCCAACCATAATGTATCAAAAATAACAACTTTTATCAACTTTTACTATGTTTTGTGCTATGCAGATGGCCTGCACTATTGCATTTTATCTTTAAAACAATCTTTCACAGAGTAGGTACTATTTTACCTCCTTATCAATGAGGATAGAGGTTTACAGATGTTAAAGCCTTCTCTAAAAAGGTCATTCGACTTGTAAATGGTAGATACAAAACTTGAACCAGGTTAGTTGGACTTCAAATCTGAAACACAATTGCCAACACACCGGTTTTCAGATTTTAATGTGAAAGAACCATTTGGAACCCTATTAACAATGAACATTTCTGGCCTGGTCCCCAGAGATTCTGATTTGAATAAGTCCTGAGCCTAGGAATCTATTTCTATTAAGCATTCCAGGTGATTCTCATGAAGATAACTCAAAGGCCACAACACTACCTTATCCTCTGTTGCCTGCCATTTAAAAATCATAATGGACTTGACAGTTAGATGACAAGAAATATCACTTCAAATTAAAAATGCTAAGTAGACAATATCTTGTAAGAACTATGTAATTAAGAAAAACTAATAATTTGGCTAAATTAATAATTCCATATTTCCTTCAATAAGTTGTATTTTTCTTCAGGAAAAGAATTCTTAGTAATATTTTCATATAAATTTCAATGTACCAATTTCTCATAGGCCAGAGGGATTGCAATGAAAGATGACAAAGGTGACGGTAGGATTTAAGATTTAAAATAATGAAAATACTACTTATTTGTAGCTTAGATAAGCTTTCCCCACATACAACTCTTCTTATCAAAGGCCTGTGACAGCAAAAATACCAAGAAAACTAAGCGATTTATGAAGAAAATAAATACATGCATGGAAAGGTTATAAATTTTTCAGCTAATAAATCAACAAAGGTGCCACATTACATGCTAGGATACAAAGTAGTTAGTAGTCACCATCTTTGGACTACCTGAGCAGCCAATCTGGATAAGTATAAAGTCCAATTATCAATCAAATAGGTTAGAGCTTCTTGGCCCTCGATTGTGGATGCTCAAGGCTATACTGGCATTGCCTAAGTGGAAAGAATTAATTTATTCTCTGCCATATGTGATCCCACCTCAGCAGGGTACTCAACACTGTTAGTCAACCATTTTACTCATTCCTAGTTGCCTTTCTATTCCATTTATCATAACAGCTATTTTGAATCTTTCCCCATGCCTTTCAAGTTCTCAGACCCATCCTAAAGGCCCTCACTTTTAATATATGAACCTACTTTTTTTTATCTTGTCCATCTGTGAATTCTGTACATTTTATTTTTTTACACGGAGATTTCTTAATCAATGTTAAGCATCTTTTCATAGTTGGTTAGCTCAAGGTAAGGAAAAATCTTAATTTCTTTTTAAGGCTAACTCCTCCATCTGAGTCTGATCCCATTATATGCTGTTTCCTTTAGAACCTTGTTCCATTCACAGCAAACATTTATTAGTCACCCACAGTGTTCCAGATATTGTTTTAGGCATTGTGCAAACAAGAGTGAAGCAGCTTACAGGATGGTGATGAGTGCAAGTACAGTGGGACCAGGAACACACAAGGACTTAATTTTAATGGAGAAAATGGGAACTTCACCTAGGAAACAGCTGTGATTTACAAGGTAAATGTGAATCAGGTAGACAAGTGGGAAAAGTGAATAGATAGAGGCTCAAGAGAGCATGGTATGGCCAAGCAGCTATAAGTAGTCTTCCATGAATGGTCAAAAAGTCTCAGGAAATTGGTGATAAAGAATACTAAGGAGTTTAGAGTTTAAGGTTATAATGAGCCACTGAAGTACCATTATCAGATGTGTATGTTAGAAAGTTCTTTTTGTAAATATCATGGTAGAGGAATTAGAATAATGCAAAAGAAGAAGCTACTAGCCCAGAAAGAGGTAAACCTTGGTGATCTAGGTAGGATAGTGGCGCCTGGTTGGGTGCAATAGTGGTAGAGATAGAGATTGATGATGGATAAAAAAATATATTTAAGTGGGAGTATCATAGGACTTAGTAACTTATTGGATGTCAGAAGAAATCACAGATTGAACTTTAGGTTGTTGGTTTTGGTAACTAATCGTGTGTCATTGGTGGACAGTGACTGGGTGCCCAAGAGGACATGTCCAATGGAAAACTGGATGTGTGGGTATGGAACTCAAAGATACTGATTTGGGCTTTGGCAGTGTAAGCAGTGCAGACGAGGTCATGGTTGTGGGTGAGATTATCCAGGGAAAATATGGGAGTGTGAGAAACAGGTGAGAGAGAACCATTTTAAGGATCTTCCAAAACAATTGAAAAAGGGGCTAAAGAAGTGGAAGAAGGGAGTAGGATGAAAAGTAAAGCAAAAGACATTCAAAAGAGGAAGTCGACAGCTGTCACATGCTTCAGAGGAGAGTTCAAATAGGGACGAAAAGTGCTCCATGGATTTAAGTAGAAAATTTTTCTTTCCAATTTATTCTTTTCCCTGTCTTTGCATTATTAAACAAATAACAGCATGTGATAAACATAAAAATTCTTCAGTTGAATCTACTATTCCCAGTATATTCTCTCCCCTTAATCACTGACCCTGTTATTCAGCTGCTACTGAACTAAAATTTGCCAGTAACATCTTTTTATTTTACCCACAAGTCACATTTTAAATGCCAGCTCCCATGACCTTTCTCAGTCATTATGCTATCTGATCTCTCTACAAAATTTTACAATATTAAGCTCCTCTTTTTATATTCTCCATTGTCTACTTTACAGTGGACTTGGTTTTCCTCTTAGTTCTTTTTAGTCTCCAAAGGGACTCCCCTATTCTTTCTAGGCTCTTTAAATAAAATCGTCCCCATGGCATTGTTCTTTAGTTCTTTTCTCTATGAAATGCACATTTCACCTCCCCTATCCCAAGCGTTCTCACAAGTCACAATGTGTAGAGGATTTCCATATAATCCTGAACTAGATTTTCATATAGAAGTCCCAGAGAATTCAACATGCCCTAATTTAAACGTGCTTCCTTTACAGTCTTACCTCCTCAAAACAGTTTCCCATTCTCCTGCCCTGTCACTGATGCCTCCCCTTCACCTCTTTCACTTCCCAAGCACAGTCAGCCCTCAACCTGAAGTGTGGATTCTCTCTCTCTCTCTGGTCCTCATTTTTATATCTTCCCTCAGATGTGTAAAACAATTTTAATATAAGGGATCTAGACATGACAAAATTCCAGTGGTTTATTTCCCATTGTAAAATAGTAACAGTGATCAACATTTATCTAGTTTTCACTACGTGCTAGGTGCTATTCTAAGCACATTACGTCTGTTTTCTTTTTAGTGTTTCCACATCTATGAATTTAGAAGATGGTTTATTCCATTTCGAATGTGTCATATAAATTTGTTTTCTATTTCAGTCTGAATTATAGATAAAAACTAACCATTATGTAGTGAAGATTAACTCATTTTGCCATCAAAACTCTATTAAGAGGCACTGACTAATGTCTAAAACACAACTACAATTATAATGATGATGACCTAGGGCATGATTAAATCCTGAAATATCTTCTGAGTTATCAATAAAAGATTACATCGTGCTTCATAAAGTCTTGGTGCTCACCTATTCTCATTCTTTCAAAAAGCGCAATCTTTGGGTGTGTACTCATGTGAATGATGTGTAGATCACTTACTCTTAGCAACATATTGTTCTTTCTCAGTTCTTTAAATGCCGCTAACCCCCAAGGATGAGTTCTTAGCCCTTTTCTTTTTAGAATGCACATGCACACACCTATTACACAATCTTGATAAGTAACTTGTACTTACCTCAAAAATTCAAATTTTGCAGAAATCTGTAAGTCAGCAGAACAATTTTCATGGGCACAAAACCTTGCAAAGTTGATCTGAAAATAAAATATAACAGAATTTTTATTTTAGTTCAATTGGTTGGTATATTTCTATGATTTTTAAAAAATACGACATGATACATAGGAATAAAATTAATAAATCAGATAACTCCTTATTTAATCTCTTCTTAAAGAGTTCAGTGTGAGAGTTAGTAGACTCAAATGACAAATAATTGCAGGGCTAAAAGGACTAAGTTCTTCCAATAAGTAAATTTGTTAGGTGAAAAAAATTTTTTTCTTTCATAATAGTTGTGGAAAAAAAGTTTAATCGAATTGCGGTAGTAATCTATGTTAAATGCTTAAAACCTGTTTTGCCAAGGTGTTCTTTGTCGAGTTCCTCAATTTTGGTGCTACAGTGTGATTCTACCTATTACACATAAGCATGGCACTTAATTTTACAAGTGGTGAGACAGTGATTTTAAATTTTTTGAAAATAACCAAATGTAGAAATTTAGAAATTTCACTTTGCGAACACCCTAAACAAAATTAAATGATAGCCTGTCAGAGAGGTTCCAGATTTATTTAACTCTGAGCATTTTAATAGGACCCAGAGATACAAGAGACATGGGACGACCCAAGTTATAAGGCGGACAAAGAAAAAATGGAGAGAGGAAAAAGAAAAACAAGAGGCATAGGTGAACGAAGGAGAGAGGCAAACAAGAAAGGTAACAGGAGCCAGGTACATGAAACAGGAAAGGACGAGAGCGCTGCCGAAGAGCGGGTCAGACCGCAGACGGCCTGTATCTGGGAGCAGAAGGAAAGCACAAATCTTTCTCTAAATCATTCGGTAAATAGGGATTTTTTTCCTACCACTCTTGTAACACAGGTCATTCTAAGAATCAAAATGTGAATTATTCTAGTATAGCTACAAATTGCTAAGATTCTGGTTTGTATACTTAACGATACATTTAAAATTGGTTGATGTTGCAAGGTGAAGTTCAATGGAAGAGTGAAAAAAACTGACTTCCAGAAATATTTTCAGATATGAGTATAAAGAAAATTAGGTTTTTAGTTATTATCTTCATTCGATCTAATATTGTAGACTAGACAATGGTGATGTAAGCTCAAGTATCTTAAAGTGACTTGGCAATTTTTTCGGGACAAGATACGAACTAGATCTTTAAATGTCCCTTTCATCTGTCACATTTTGTGTGCCATTGGTGCACATTTTAATAATGAATGCTTTTACCATAACCTAAAACATCTTGCTGACTATGTCTTTGTGTTGTTGGACAGAAAAGGTCTGAACAACTGGACTCCCGATAAGAAGCGCTGTTGGTGAAATTGATATATTTTGGGATAAATTAGAAAAAGCAGTTTACTGGTTAGAATGCAGGGCCATCTCAAAATGCAATTGGTCCTGGGATGTGGCTGGAAAGCACACAGTTAAATTTTAGAAGAGAAATTTTTGTGCAACCTAAATACATGTTTATAAATGAGTAAAACCCAGCAAAGGAATTTGACTAATGAGACATGAGTGAATCTGTGGGTGGGGTAAGTGAGAGGGAGACAAAATGAGAGAGAAGAGACAGAAAATGAGAAAGAGAAAGATAAACTGAACACATATGATGACACTGAATAACTAACTCATGAATGCAACTCACTTCCATTATGAATGCTCTCTAGTAATTTATTTTCTTCACTGGCAAGGCATCAAGAAGAGAAAATGAACATTTTATGTATATGGGAAACCACTGCTATGACTAAATGCATATTTTTAAATATTCAGTTCAATATCCTAAAAGAAATACAAAAAATAAAGAAAATGAAAACCAAGACATACCATAAATCTTTTATAAAATTTAAATTCATAAAATTTTAAAAAAATCAGAGTTCGTTTCCCTAGAATCATGCAATATTTCAAAAAACAATTCTTTGGTTACACATTGCATAATTTTTGAATAAAGGAAAATATTCCTACTGTTTTTTGAATTATGTCTTTTTTGTTCTTCTGCTGAAGAATTGGCTGAAGTGGTGGGAATTCCTCTGTACTTCGTTTACTGATGACATGATGCCCAAGGTGGTAAGCAGCTTCAATCTGAATCGGTGTGAGGATGTCTCGCACATCTTTCTAAGGAAATTTAAAACCATATGAATTACTAATAAAAATAAGCATATAAATTAAAAGAGAGAGAGCTCTTTTTCTGCATAAGGCCAAACACAACACATAGAAGTCAAAAGAAAAGCCTTACCTTTTCATCCAAATTGCTAAAAAAAGGTTGTATATATTTTCTCATATTACAAAAGTATTCATGTTCATTAGGAAAAACAAAAACAGTATAAAATATGAAAAACTATAACCATCCAATAGTAGTTATAAGGGTCTATATTTGGGTATATTTTCATCCATGGTATTTCTTACACATACTTTTAATAACTTGACATTATGACTTAAATATTTTCTATTATAAAACTCTTTGTATATCATTTCCAAGTGCCAATGAATACTTTATTCTCTTTAACATTTCCCTGTAATACACTTATAGAAATATTATCTTCTCTCAATTTATTCAAATTTTTAGATCTCTCAGCAACATTTTGATATAATTTGATTCATTTGACTTCATATTTATTATGAAACATCTTTTTTTTTTTGCTATTCTTTATGGACCTTTTCCAATTATATTTTCTAACAGGTTTTGAATGGTATTTGGGAAAGTTACTTGTTTCATATATTTAATCTTTATCCTATTCACTTTACTGAGTCTTTTGCTAGTTATTATATAACATTTTTTCTAGGTTTATTATGCTTTTACTCTTCACAAAGAAGGGATTTTTGGATTTATCTATCAATTACACAGAAATCGTAGCCCATTTGGAATACGTTATGCTCTGTATGACATTCTTTTAAATTTAATCTTACTAATTTTTAGTTATAATTGACAGACCTCCTAGTGAGTAACGTCAGTGGCCCAGGTTTCTATCTTAGATACCTCAGGATTGGGATATGGCTTAAACAGTACTGTGTAAAGGTAAAAAAGAACGGATTATTTCCAAAGTTCATAAATTAGTAATCCCTAATGGATAAAAAAAAAATCTATCATACAGTGTATTGCTGTGCTACTTACATCTATAACTTTTGATATCAATGAAGTAAAATACATATCACACGAAAGACCACATCTATTCTGTCTTTATGTAATTTTTTTTAAATGTAGTTTTTTTCTTCTTTTCTCATCATTTATGACATTATCAATATATGTATGCAGTGGTGAAAGGCAAGTGGTCTGCAGGCAGAATACTGGGGTTCAGATCTCAGGTCCATCACTTATTATCTATGTAACCTTAGGCAAATTACTTAAATCTGTCTGTGGCTCGAGGTACCTCATCTGAAAATGGGAATAATGATAATGATGATGGTGATGATATCTACAGCTTATTTTTGTGAGGATTCAATGGTTTAATATACACAAAACACTTAGCACTATGCCTGGCACTTATTAGGGTCTCAATAGATGTTAGACATTATAACTATTATGTGTACATTGCTTCGAAATGTAGCTAGATATGCTAATCAAGGAATTATTGAACTTCAGCTTCTTATAAGAAATTCTGGTGAACATTTGGAAGGAATAAGAAAAATGAAAATTAGACTAGTGCCAACCAATGAACATTAAGTAGAAAATGAGTTATATAACAAATATTAGACTTGTATTCATTAAGTGGTACCTGGAAGATTTGGAGTATGAATTGGAGTACTCAAGATCTCTCAGTTTTGCAATCGTATATATCGAGATGATTTTATTAAATTACTTGATAAGTGATCATCTCAATACAAAACCTTGACCATCTACAAATGCTGCAAATCAAGGCCCAAATCCCAAGTTATCAACTTGTGAAAACAGAACAGCTTGAAGCCGAGTATTACAATAGCAAACTTGATTAAACTATTCCCTAGGTGTAGGAGCTAGACAGCCACTGATTGTCCCTCCACATGTCCACTGTTTTAATTCTTCTCAACAAGCTTGCTTTGACCAAATCACATGTTATCTAATTCATACTAATTTTCCACAAGGTCTTCTCTACAGCTGGTGTATATTACTTTCATTATCCTAATTAGCTATTAATTATGCTTTTCTCACAATATATAAAGTATACATGCACTCTTACAAGAACTGTGTTTGACAGATATTCACACTTATTTAACTTTAACAGCTCCACCTAAGGACAAAAGCTATATTAAAAATGTCTAAAGTGACTAATTAAGCAGTTTAGAAGAAAAAAGTAGATTTGCTTAAAATTTTTGATTTGAATGGGCATTTGCTGTCTATATTAAAAATAATGAAGATTCCATGCTACATTTTTATGGACTATTACATAAAATAGGGGACCCACAGCATGTAAATTAGCACATGCCTGAAATTATACAAAGTCTACCTTTTTGTTTGACTTTCATGGAAATTTGTATTTATAGCCAACTTGAGAAATGAGACACAGGCCCATATCCTACTACTGTGCTCATGTAGTGAAAGAATTTATTTAATGGGTGGGGCCAGAAATATTTATAATATTGAATAAAAGTGATATTGAAGTATAAACATTTAAAGATATCTATTCATGGACCTACTGTGTACAAGACAGGCTCTAAAAACATAAAACTGAAAGTCATTATCTACTCAGAGTCTATAACCCATAAATCCACACATACAGTGTGGGGATGCATCCTGATATATGCATACTGCAAATATAGAAGACGGGTCACTAATCTATACTTGAAAGGGGATGGGAAGGTTTTTAAACAGAAGAATTTTAAGCAAGGAATATGATCAGATTTGAGTTTTTGAAATGCCCCTCTAATATGAAATGCCCCAATGGGGGAAATGGCTTGGGGAGGAAGAAGGTAAGACTGAAGCATAGATTAAAACCTAAGCCAGCAAAACCGTGTGTAATTATAGTTACTTTATCTAATATGCTTGGTTTAGAAGGTAAAGAACTATATCAAATATCTGGTACTACAATTTTCTGAGAAAGACAACACTCCAAGACAGGTATCCTACCCATTATACTAATTGAACATTCCCAGATTTTCCTTCATAGAATTCTTTAAGTGGCACTGAGAACACATTATCCATAAATTTATTAAATATTGATTGGCTGTCTTCTGTAATGAGTTGTGTTTGTTCTAAGAAATACAAACATGCAAAAGATAGATTGCAAAGTCTTTGAAGGCAGGATACTAACACAAATTAACGTATGTTGAAATAACGAACTCACTCTAGAATACCATATCAGTATAGTTATATAGTTTGCTTGCACTTAGATTTTCAGCAGAATGTATGCATATATGGATCCATAGTGTGCTATAGTTAAAATATAACCACTTTGAAGCAAATGACACTTCATTAAACTATGTACTTACGTAAGCAAATAATATATAATACATTTAACAATCAAATTACCAATCAAATACACATTTTCTTGAAGTTATTATTGAAAAAGATGGATTTTAGAAGTCACCTAAAGACCTATATAACAAAATAAATTCCCTTTTTTCAAAAACCCAAAACCCAGAAATTAGAGAAACCAAGGGAAAAAAGAATGAACTAATTTACTAAATAGGTAGGCAGATTGATTTCATGATTTTACAACATGCTAAAGCCACTGAGCTCGTTGGATCTCAGGATACCGACAGACATCCCGGTTTGATGACTAAGCTAGATCTCTTTAGCTATTATTGGATATAGTGTAGGCAGGCAGGGAATCCTGTTACTTCATTTGTTATCCCAGCATAACACCCTTTTTCTCTTCTCAAACATCAGTGAATATTTTGATGCAGAGACTCCAAGTTCAATGAAGAAATATCATCTATGAGAACCTTAAGGCACGTCACTACCATAGCTGCTTCGATATTTCCAAAAATTGCTGCCAGTTGTTGGGTTTCTCTAAATCAAATAGCCTCAAAATTATCTCTTGTCTTAAAATTTTGTCCTAAGAAGTCTCTAAGATCTAACAAAGTTGTGTATTTGAATACACCAAACACAAAGGTGCATTTTCATGTGCTTACACAGATGGGGAAATGTTTTCAGAAGGAAAAGTAATGTCTAATAGAAGAGAATTTCACTAGATAAAACATGGAAATTTGTATTTATGGCCAACTTGAGAACTGAGACTTAGGCCCATATCTTACTACTGTGCTCATGTAGTGAAATAATTTATCTAATGGGTGGTGCCAGAAATATTTATAATATTGAATAAAAGTGATGTTGAAACCTTGAATGAACTCTCAACTCTAAATTCTAGGTTCTGTTTTTGTAAAATCTGATAATTTTATGGCTCCAATGGCAAAAAATGAAAACTTGGTTTGATTATGAGCAACTAAAATGGAGTTTTTAAAGAAAAACACATTTCTTGCCTTCTTTTCTATTTTTTGAGGAAAAATTTTGATCATTTATATAAAACAATTGTGATAACTGTTTTAATTATGAGTAGATTAAGTAAACCTGAGAAAACTGATGTGCTTACCAACCAGAAAATGACCATATAGTCTAAGAAAAATAACATATCAAAAAATGTACATGCTAGTGATATAGATAGTTATTAGATTATTAATAATGTCTCCTATATTTCAAGAAGATCCAATGTGTAAAACTAGAGAATATGTGATAAAAAGAAAAGGATTTAATAAAAGCCAAACTTTTATGATGGGATTTAGGTTTAATAGCCAAATTCTCTACCATCAGAGAAATGACAGGTTTTGTAAATAAAAGCAGGTTTCAAGACTTTCATTTACATGAGATAACCAAGGAATTGTGAGCAAGGATAATAAAATCAAAATTCAATCTTTTCCTCAAGTTTAGGTCCTTAATGGCTTTTACATGTATTTATCTTTCCAGCTCATTCTCTTGAATACTCAATTCCAACAACTTGCTGATCCCACTGGGACCTTCAATTCAACTTTTTCCCCTGTCCCTCACCCTCCTGACGTCCTTTTTTGCCTTATGCTGCTTGAACTTCCTGGTGAACACTCCCTTGCACACTTAGACTCTCTGGCACCTTGGTTGCTTCACTCATTTGGCAAACGACAACCTTGGTCAAATGTTATTCTTCATCTACTTTCACCAATAAGGTTAAATGACACTGGAAAAAGCCATAATCACATAACCATCTGACTAATTTCACTTTATGACCACAAAGTTAGACCCTAATGCCATTTTACAATCATATTGTACTTCCTTACTCTCTGGTTCTCCCAGAAGACTACGCCACATCTTAAACTCCAAATACCACTTATCCCATCCCTACTCAAGCTAATGACTTTGCTTCTTACTTCACTGAGAATGTTAAAGCAACCAAAAGAGAACTTCCACAGTCCACACCATATCTGTCCAGCACCTGCAAGCATACACACAGATAAACTACGCATGTGCCTATCTGGAACCAATCCCTTTCATTTGTACAATTAATTCCTTTCATTTGTACACTTAATCTCACCCCTCTTGCCTACTCAAGAACTTTGCTCCAGCTATTCTCTCATTTATATCATAAATATTTTATTCTATTGGAACACACCCATCATTATGAAAACATGCTATTTCTCTTATCTTAAAAGAAAAACCCTTCATTCCACTTCTCACGTCAGCTACTGACTCCCAACCCCATTTCTTTGGTCCGGTTAAATCAAAACTTTAAATCTATACTCTGTTCCTAATTCCTCTCCTTTTTCCCTTCTACTGCTGTGAAATGCTGTTGCCACTATCACCAACAGCCTTCGCATTGCTAAACCCAATGGTTAGTTCTTAGCCTTCATCTTATTTGACCAAGCAGCAGCACTGAAAACATTGTCATGCCCTCCTCTGTGCTCTGCTTTATTCATTTCGCTTCCAGGATGCCACAGGCTCTTGCTTTTCTTCCTTACTTTACTGACAGGTCCTTCTTATCTCCTTTGTAAGCTTTCTCTTCTCTCCAACTTCTTCAGGTCATAGTACCCCCGAACACCGACCTTCACCCTCTTTTCTTCCTCTGCTGCTCAGCCATCTCATAGGGCTTGAAAAACCATCCATACGCCAAAGATGCATTAAGCTATATTTCCAATCCTATGCCTCTCCTTAACTCCAGATGAGTATATACAAGTATTTAATATTTACACTTGAAAGCAAAACAGGTTTCCTCAATTCAGCAGATCCACGACTCCAGAATTTTCCACCCAAAAGTTATTTCCCTTGCATATTATCTCAACTGATGAAAACTACATTCTTTTAGTTGCTTGGGCTAAAGACCTCTTTCTCAAATGCCAGATGTCTCATCTGTCAGCGAATTGTGTAGGATCTTTCTTCAACTATATCTCACCATGTCTACTGCCAACACCTTCAATGGAGTCATCTCTCACCTGTGTTATTGCTGTATCTCTTCTTCTACCTGTCAATCTTTGGTCCCCTGTCTAGCCTCAACATAGCGGAGTATTCCTTTTCATTACTAAGTCAGATCATGTCGCTCTCTGCTCAAAACTGTGATAGATCCTCATTTCATCCAGAGAAAGTCACAGGTCTGATATGATCTCTTTTTCCACTACTCTACTCCAATTTCACTTTTCCAGCCATCCTTGCCTCCCCCATTATTCCTTAAAACAAAAAGGCACATTCTTGTCCTGAGATATTTTTCCCTAGCTCTTCTTTAATGATCTCCCTCTAGATCAAGGGTTCTCAAAGTATGGTTCCCAAGCCAAAAGCATTAGCATCACCTGGGAACTTTGTATAAATGCAAATTCTAAGGCCTTGCCTAAGACCTACTGAATTGAGAACTCTAGCTTGGGCTCAGCAATTTGTTTTACCAAGTCTTTCAGGTGATGCTGTTACATGCTAAAGGTGAAAACAACTGTCTTAGGTATCTACACAGTAACTTCTTCACTTCAAGTCCTTACTCAAATGTCACTTTCTGAATGAGGCCTACTCTGACCACCCAATTTAAAACTGTACACTTCATTCCTTCCATAGAACTCTATAATTTTTTGAATTCTGCCTTTTTTCCTTTTTCTATCACTCATGTCTTCTTCTAAAATACTGTAAAATTTACCTTTTTATGTTATTGTTCATCTCACCCTAGACTATAAGCTCTATGAATGCAGCATTCTTTTTATGTTTTATTCGCTGATCTACACAAGTGTCTCAAACAGAACCTGACACATGCAGGTAACTCAAAAAATACCTATTGAATTAACTGAGTGGATGGGCAAGTGGAGCTTAACTGATAGAACCAATGGGAGCAACTACACCAGGAAAGTGTGCTTAACTAGAAAGCAAGGAGCCCCGAGAGGCAGGGTGTGCAGGCCTGAGTACGTAATTAACAAGGATCACCTCATTTCATTATTAGGGATACAAAGGCAGAATGCATATGTATATTAAACACTCCTGATACTGGATACGTTCTATAGAACAAAGGAAAAATCTAGGCATTCTGACCACTGCTTGTCTTCTTTTATTCTGTTATTAGGAAGACAGCAGAATTCAGGTTGCTGTTCTATTCTTTCATACCGTGTAAGTATAGCAGTATTGTAATGTTTACGAATGCCTTGGGTACCAGGCTGGTGGGGCAGAGAACACACTCATTAAACTCCCGTACTTTCCTAAGTAATAGCTAGAGCTCCTTGATAGAACTCAAGGTTGGTTCAGTGGTTTCTGTAGTTCTTACATCCTACTTGGGTATGTGGTGAGAGGGTTGCTGTAGCCTTTTGTCTTTCTATGTATGAATTTTAAAGTGTCCCAAGCAAAAGCAAGGTAATTTGGGACGGGGAAAGAAAACATTGGATGAAAGTCACTTTTTCTCTAAACCTACTATGTACCAATCTCAGAGCTAAGTGTTTTGATTGACGTTGACAATATGGCCCAAAGTCAATGGCTGTAACCTGCTGCTATCAATACCATGGTAACATTTGCAAGTATATAAGAAACAAACATAAAAACCTCTGCTAAATTGTCATTTCTACTACAAATTTATTACAAAGTATACGATTTTGATGAACACTTACTCATAGGAACAATGCCAAGAAACATAGGTCTGAATAAATCAGATCAATTTACTACCAATTATTCAAATTCAACACAATATGTTTCTTTGAGAATGTCTAATTCTCAAAGAAACATATTGGCCCTTTTATTGCCTTTAAAATGGTCTCAAAGTTAGTCTCCAAAACTGACTAACCTAAGTAAAAGGTTAGGATTTAAAAAAAAAAAAAAAAAAAAGAATCTCTTTAATCTTTACCATATAAACAATGGCTCCATTAATACCATTTGATACTTTCTAAAAAAAAAAAAAAAAAAAAGAACCTCTTTAATCTTTACCATATAAACAATGGCTTCATTAATACCATTTGATACTTCTGTCTCTCAACCTGCTAATAGCTTTATTCCAGTACAACAATAAAAACTGTTAAGGGAAATGAGGAAAGAGCATAGGGGTTAGTGCATTTGCTTGGAATAAATATCTAAGGGAAAATTAAGTTCTAAGCTGAGGCTACTATTTGAAATCCCCAGCAGGGCTCCTGGAAATTGTTTGGCTTTTTTTTTTTTTTCTGATGAAGTATACCATTCCCTGATGAAAAAGACTTGGCACTACTTCATATGATAAAATTTGACCAAAGCAAGGTACGTGATCAGTCTGGGAATGAGTGTTTTAATAAAAGAAACATGAAATTGGCTATGCTTTGGCAGGAGAGACCCCAAACCATCGTGAGAGCCATTGCCCTGGCCCACAGATAATCCCTACCACACTGCAACTGTGCAAGTTCCCACTGACATCACAACAATGCTGGCATGGAGACAAAGGCAAAATCCAAAAGCAGTCATGTCAGATTCTGCTTCCTTAGAGGCACATGAAAAACAAACCAACTTCCCCACCTCTTAACTTTCTCTGGCACTTCCCCTCCTTCCACCTCTCGCTCCTCCCCAAAAAGGAAAACCCTACCCAGGAATAGATTGGAGTCACAGCAAAGCTGTTCAATATGTCCATTTCTAGGCAAGTGTATAAACAGGAATAAGAAAATTGCAATTGAAAGGAAAAGGCAATTCCTTAAAAATAGTGATGTAGTAAATATAATAAATGTGAAATAAAGAAGATGCAAAAAGTGGACTTTATCTAGCTCACGGGTTGTCTAACGTTTTGACTCTGGAACAATAGGTCAGTTAGTTCAGCGGGGGAAAACACCTGCTTTTAACCACATTTTATAAAAAGATACCAATTCACTAAAGTTTTTACTCTACCTATAATATTGAAGTTTACGTATTCATTAATAAAAACTAGTTTACATTACCCGCATAAACGCTTGATGTGTTCTACAGTTAGCAACTGCGCTTGATACTTTCATGCTTCCTGTAATCACATCAGAAGTTCCATTAGAAGAAAAGTAAAATCTCGATGGAGTCTCTGCCTTTCTGTTCACATCCAGACTCATGTTATAAAACAAAACTGCAAAGAATGTAGAGAGAACTGCAATTAATATACGTTATCTAAAAGCATTTATTATTTTTAAAGTGATGACAGTTTAGGAGAATACTGGAAATATCTTAAATTCTCTTCATTAGCTTTTTAAAACTAATCTGAAACATGGAAGAGGGAATTTAAAAATACAAATTTTAAGTTTTTGTAAATATAAATGTATAAACATTTCTCTAGTTTTCTATTTTTAACATTAACATCTTCAGTTATTTACTTAATCCTCCTATGTGTAAATGTTTCAAAACTACAATACCATAATTGTGTTACTAATAATAAAAGTCCTGAGTAAAGTTTCAGATTTCTTTAGAGTCTTGTCTTTAGAACATCCAACTATGGATGTTCTCGAAAGTCACTTGGAATATTTCCATCTTGGGTGGATAAATGTCATACTGTTTAGGTTCATTTACTTCCACTTGTTTCCAATTTGAGGGGTTATTTTTCTTTTGATTAATTTCTTTAAATGTAAAATGAACACGTAATTCAAAAGTCAAACATATAGTTTACTCAAACACATTTTCTTTCTCAGCCTTAGGCCCTAATTAAGCTTCCCCATGTTTTTACTGATTTTTAGTTTGAACTTTGTTGATTCATGCAAAAATGAACAAGTATAGACATTTGATAAATATTTTGGCAGATTGGTAAAAACTTATTTCAAGTCTGATGTAGCAAATAGCCATCTGCTAAAGATTTTCAAAAAGCAAAGATAAGGAGAATTTACAAGCCAGCAAACCAGATCTTACCAAGAAAAAGACATTTCTTGAATCTAAAAGGGATCTCTGCAAAACAAGCTACATCTAACAGTGCTGCGATGTCACTAATATAGGAGCAATAATTCATTAAGTGATATTTTTAAGAATTTATATCATTCCTGAAGTGTTCATTTATACGTTAGGAGTAACTTACTCTTTTGGAAGGATTTTATCTGCTTATTTCAAGGAAACCTAAGTATAAAATGCATACTACTATTACTATTATGAATTCCAAATAAATCTTTCAACCTTCCTTTTATTTATATAATAGTAAAGTCTACATCAACTGTATTCAAAATTACAATAACTGAGATTTGATGCCTCAGATATGAAGTTGTAATTGAAATAGCCATCTGTGAATTCATCACTCTGAGTTCAGACAAAAAGTAAACGAAAAAAGGGTGAATGAAAACCCACTCACAGTAAGAGTTAAAATGTCCTGGTTTTAGTAAATATGCTCAACATGTAAATTATTTCTCCCAAGGAGTCATTTTGCAACTATAAAGCATGTTTTTGTAACAATGCTGTGATTATTTATGAATTTCATATATTAGTTTTCAGCTAATTTTTAAAAATCTGGCCACCGTGGAATTGGTAGTACAACAAACACTGATATTACATTAAGAGAAATAATCCTATTTACCATGTATCTTTCAAATAATCCATCAGCTTGTCTATGTTACCTTGTTACAGCAGTCATGCTTTCAAACTGCCACTTCTCCAATCAAGAACGGGATGAAGGTTTTGCTCAGTGTTCTATCATTGCATCTCTAGCCAGGACTTTTTCAGAGCACTATAAAAATTGAGTCTGATTGAAAGTAGATTTGCCAGACTCATTCTGTACTTCTCATGACAGGCTAATTCAGACTGGGACTTCTGTTACAGACCAATAGTTTGGGTTCAATATTTGCTGCCCTTCATGATATTTAGATGACAACAGCCTACAGGGTCATGAGTTCAATCAATTCTTGATAGGTCTTTTGGGGCTCATTAATATTGTGAATTACTGATGTCCAAAAGATAAGGCCAGGTATGTTTCCCCCTTACTATGGTTAGTTTCATTAATTATTCTAATATTTGCTTAAATGTAATATTTAATTAGGAACATTAACTTGTTAGCAAAATTATACTTATGAAGTCACATATTTGTGATTTGGGATTAACCACAATTTTAGATGAGTCATATCAATGCTATGTCTCCAGAGCAAATAACTGAGAGTTGCCTACCTATAGGGAAATGAGTATAAGCTCTCAGGAGCTGATAGTCATAATAAATCATTAACAGATATGTATTTGTGAAAATTGGAATCAGGGTCTAGACTCCAGATAAGCTTCTTCAATTACTCAAACAGGATAGAACATGAAGAAAAGAATCTTCTCCTTCCCAGGCTTTCCAGCTTAAGCTGACTCCAGAAGCCCACTAAAACAGAGGAGGAGCTGTGGCTGTGCTGTTCTTTCTATTCTAAGATCTTACAGATTAAGCTCAGTTAGTTCACTTTATTAATATAGCAAGTGATACCCTTAATTTGCTTCTTGCCATAACCTCTAAGCATCTATAGCCTCCTAATGTGCTCCAGTTAGAAAAACGAGGAAGAAAGGTGTGTTATCAGGTGGCTGCTCTCTCCTCCCCTAAAGCATACCTCCAAGGTGAAACAGAGTGAAGGCTCAAAAGAAGATCATGAGATTAATGAGTAGAGCACACATTCTGTCAGGCATTAATTCTGTAAGGGCACCCTTACCAATATAGCCTGGAACCTTTTTGCCCTTGTATGAGAAACAGAGTGTTAAATCCATGCACACAGAAGGCAATCCGTTTTCAATACAGTCAAAATTCGTTCTATTTACTGATTCAGGATGGTTTAAAGAAGCTTCGACAACTACTACAGGTCTTGTCCTAAGGAGGAAATAAAATTAGCAGATTTAATTACAGAATTACTTCTATTGACCAAGTGGTTTCATAAAACTGCTTTATTAATAGTATGTGCACACAAACTCAATTATATTTCCATGTATGAATCGAGAAGAATTCTCATTTAAGTCTCTAAAAATATTGACTTTGTCTAATGATTTAATTATATCTATGTAAGGTGGGAAAAGTATCCTAAAGTTCAATAGTTAAATTTTGGAATACCAAAAAGAATGTTATGAGGTCACCACCACTGCTGATTTAAAAAAATTGACTCCCATTATTTACAATTAAGCCCGATTGTCATTAAGCAGTGAAATGTATCAACCTTACCTTAGCAACACAACAGAATCAGACCGAAAAGCACCAACTGCTACATCTGGGGGATAAAAAACAATACAGATTAATGATCATCATTAGTCAAAGAGAATTACTTTGCAGTCATAAATATTTAACTACATGTCACCTTTTGACTATATCAAAACACTATTTACAGAAAATTAATTAGAAAAGATATGCTTACATCTTAGGATTCATTCCACATTATCTGAATCTATTCATTTACAATGCCATTAATTCCCTTTATAATATAAACCTAAACTTAATGATATGAAGATAGGCTTGACTAAAACAAATTCAATTTTTGGACTAGAAATATTCACCCAGAAATTTTCTTTCAAATTACAAAAAAACCCATAAGTTTTCTTTTCTTTCCATATGTCTGATTCACTTTCATGGGCGCTTTTCATTTTTTTTTCAAGAACAAAGAATAAGACATTAAATAAGTAACAGTGTAAAGTTCGGAAATTACGTGATCATTTCTGACCCACCCTTGAATTCAAAAGAGCTTGAAAATGAAGGAAAAAAAATTATCAGTAAAGTCCAACTCTTCCATACCAGTTTTATGTATTTCTCAATAAAGCAGCATCTACAATAGAGTTTATTCCTGTTTATAAAATCAGGTAAATTCTATACTCACCTACATATCCATTATTATCTGCATCAATTTGCCCAGATATAGACTGTCCAAACATACTTAATGATTTGCTGATTTGAAGTCCTTCAATTCTCTGAAAAATAGGTAAGTTGAGTGAGAAGTGTTTTTGAACACCTAATATCCCAGAGATGCAATGATTTAGTTAATCGAGACTTTCTATGTCCTGGCACATTTATGGACAAAATATGTTTTAGTTAAGCCAAATACTTGTGTCTAAGAGAAATAAAAGTTTCCAGCTTTCAGTGGGCAGTCAACATCTATTTTGTGACATGAAGAAAATCACTCTATTTACTTTGTAAAGAAAGAGAAATTATGTACTATAGATAATCTAAAATGGCCCTGACTCCCTCTCCCCAGTCTTCTTTCAGGCTCTATATTTGTTTTGCTGACCCTGAATTACGAAACGAGTAATCTGAAATAAGACATCTCTAATCACTTACTGGACCCTACAACTGAGGCTTATGATGAAAGCCACCCCATTTAGCCAGCTTGTTTCTTACTATTTGCCAAGGACAACTCATGTTATGTGCTTCCTATTCCATGTGTCTAATGCCACGTACAGATAGTGATTTATAAATATCAGGCTGCTATCCATACTAAGAATATCAGTATCTTTTACTAGACAAATATTTTTCATGTTAAATAGAGAAAGACTTGCTTGCTTTTGCCCAATCAGAAATAACAGTATTAGCTAATTTTCCATAAAAGTATCTTTGGGAAAGCTTTTCTTTGCATGTGTATGTAGCTTTTTCTATGCACTGAAATAGCCTGATTTTTCAAATTATAAAAGTGAAGTCAGAGTTAGATCAGGGAACTTTATTAAAGTGCTATCGTCTTCTATTTTGCACTGAAAGGAACACGGTATATGAGTGTTTGCTCTCCGTGTGTGATCTCCATGAAATATGGGACTTAGCCACAAAACACGATAGAGTTAATCAAATCCAAATGGTTTATTTGGAATAGTATGGATATTACCTCAGAACATAAAGTTAATGAAATGCAGAGAGAAATATTTAATAGGTTAAAGACAAACTAGAATGGAAGCAAACCAGAACTCTTATTTATGGGGAAAAAGTGGTTCCAAAGACTTACTAATGACTTTAAAAATAAGACCATCTACTCTTATATGAAAATGGTGAAATACAATATTAAGTATTTGAAAAAGCAAATTAAGGAAAATAAGTCCACTTAACACTGGAAGTTTTAAGGAAGCTTTTATGGACAATGCTTCCAAAGTTGCTTTTTGTTTTTTAACAAACGCACATTTTTCTGATTTGGCAAATAAATGTTAAAGAATATAAACTCAAGGGCTTTTGAAACATGTTTGATATGTGTGCCTTCCTGGATTCTTTCTCAAATCTAGGGCAGTGCCAGCATGTTCTTGTAATAAATGCTGAATATTCCTTCATCATCTCCTTTACAAAGAATGTATCTAGTATTCTTTTGAGCAGTATTAGAAGTTTCTCAAAAGATTTCCAATTTTTCTTCTTTTTCTTTTTGCCAATGCTTCTTTTGAAAATTGTCTCCTACCTGTGAGAAGGCTGATGAGATCCCATCTGCTCGGCCGTTGTAAATATAAATAGCTCCTCGCAAGTCATCTTCTTGTGGAGCTCCAATAGCAACATCTATTCAAGAATTTAAATGGTGGAAAAATAAATTCTTGATACAAAGAATGTAACCGAAAACTTTCATGTTCTTTAATTCATATAAGAAAACTCCTTATAAAAAAACACCTTCCTCACTAGATAGAAAAATATTACAAAATACCATCATCACAACAATATACAGGGTTGTACAGAATAGTGTGCATGGAAGAATCAGAGTGAACGGGTCTGAGAGGCAGTCAGTCTAACAGAATGATTAAGGGCACGGGCTCTACAGCCTGATCTTTGAGGCCTGACCCCAGCCCTGCCACTGTGCCCAGCTGTATTACGCTGGGCCCAATTCCTAACCTCTCTGTATTTCATCTGTTCCCTCAGCAATAACACAGGATCACAGGAGAACTCACTTTCTCAGCATAGGACACCATTCACATAAAGTACTTAGAGCAGCACTTAGCACATAATTATTACCACGTATGAAGAGCATAATCGAAGAATCTTTATTTTGAGCTCTAGGCTTTATTTGCAAAATGACTTCTAAATTAATTCCTATTCCAATGAAAATAATTAAGGTGTTTGTTAAGAGTATCTGTATACACACAAAAACCAGATTTCAGAAAATGGATCTGTTCTGTAAGATAATTGTATCACCATTATGATACTAGGAAGAACAAAATTTGGTCAGCTCACATGAAAAAAGAAAATAGAAACTATGAATGACATGGTTGCTTACATGCTATAAATATATAGCACATAGAGGGAAAAAATCACATTCTACAGTTGTAAGAGCATTTCATTTTACTAAGTACTATGTCTGTTTGGGTATATTCATATTTTTGTTTTCTTATTAATAAAAGCCTTAAATAGTTTCTCTTTAGGATAATTCATTTCTTATCACTGTTTATCAGATTTAAAACCCTTTTAACAAATATAGTGGTAGTCTTTTACTTATTTCAATACAAATAAAAATGTCTTCAATCTATAACTCTATGCCAAATACTGCACAATTTTAAAACTGCAAAAGATTTTCTATTTTCATCTAAAAATAACTGATGAACACATACTTATTTTGTTTAGCCATATTAAGGCGACTCTCCTTTGATTTGTGCAAATTATTTTAAATTTTCATATGCAAGTATACCCATTGATTTATTCAGTCAGTGGACTGAATAAACTATTGGGCACCTACTGTATTCCAAGAATTTGCAGGAGCTGATAATACAGAGCAATTACACAAAGAACTGATAGTCTTGTTGGGAAGAACAACAAATCATAATGCAGCATGCAAGAAGGTGGTGGAAATTAGGGAAGACTTCATAGATGATGTGCAAGCTAAGATTCATGTAGTAATAAATCATAGCCAGGTGAAGAAAAGGGAGAAGACAATTTAGACAGAGGAAATAGCCTGTGCAACAGCAAGAGAGCAAGAGGCGGCATGGCACTCATGAAGATTGGAAATTAGTTTGGAATAGCTGCAGACTAAATACACATAGTAACATAATAGAGAAGAGCAGGAAGAAAGAAAAAGAAAGGGAGGGAAGAGGAAGATAAAGAGAAGGAGTGAGAGGAGAACTATCCTACAGCCACTGAAGACAAGATAGTTAGCAATTTCATTAATTAGGGCTGGGTATATATATTTCAGTCACTGTAGCTATTCCTAAGTAACTGGAATTCTAAACCTTAATTCTTAATGATAGTGTGTGAAAAGTCTGGGTTATGAAGTTGTTGATACACTGAAATTCTTGCAGTATAAATTATTAGCTCTAGTGATCTATATTGAAGCAAATATCTTGATAATTCAGATGAGCCTTTTCAGCTAAGATAAAGGGTATATTCGGTCTTTGGCTACCTTATAGAAAGATCCAAAATCTTATTTCCTAGGATTACACTTGGATCCATTTTGTAACATACTATCATTACATAAATGAGGAAAATACATTTGAAATATACATATATTTATATAAAATAATGTTTTTCTACGTTATGCCACTCAATTCGGGACCCAATGTACAGAACAAACACTGAGATCTTTGGCAGCTGGTTTTACTTTTCATCTGAACATTTTATTTCATTCTGTTAGTATAAATCATAATTATCATTAACATACTCATAATAATCTTGAAATCAGCTAACACTTATACAATGTTTACAATGCAGGCACTGTGCTGGGGGCTTTGCACATGTTAACTATGTAACTTTCCCAACAACTGTATCAAATACTTTTTGATCCCCACTTTTAACAGGTGAGGAAAGTACAGCAGAGAGTGTAACCTGATTAAGGTCATAGAGCCAGGATGTGGATTTACACCCTGGAGTCTGGCTCCAGAGCCTGCTGTCTATCACCTTACTAATACAACCATTAACAACAGAGGTTACAGGAGAAGGGGTAGTCCAAGACGGTGGTGTGGGAAGATCCTAAACTTACCTCTTCCCACAGACACACTAAATCTACAGTTGCATATGGAACAATTCCCTCCAAAAAAGACCTGAACACTAGCTGAACAGCTCCTTCACAGCAAATAAAAGGGGCATTGAGACAGGTAGGAGAGGCAGAGACATATTCTTGACAAAAACGGTACCCCTGGTACAGCAACTCATCATTGGGAGGAATTTCACAAAGCAGTGGCGTCTCCTTGAGAAGCGAGGAGGTTATGTCCCACAGCAGGAACCCCAAACCTTGGGAAGTGCACTAAGAGACAAACCCCTAAAATGTCTAGCTTTGAAAAATAATGAAGCTTACGTCCAGGAGACCCAAAGGGCTGTAGTGTACTGAAATACCACTTGTAAAGGGCTGGCACACAAACTCACCTGCCACAGTGCAAAAGCAGCAGTTTGAGAAGTGCCTAGCCTACTTTGGAAGAAGATTCATTTGTTAATCTTAAAGAGTCCACCAGAGAAGCAGGGGCCTATTGGGACTCCCCCTGAGACAAAGGTGCTGACAGGCATTACTTTTGCACACTCCCTCTAGCTTGTTAGGGGAGGCAGATGCTCATAGTTCCTGTACTCTCCAACTGCCCTGCTAAGGCTGGCAGGTGTGTATGGCTCCTGTATTCTCCTACTGCTCTGCTAAAATTGGCAGAAGCACACAGTTACTGTGCCTTGAGAAACCTGGCAGGTGTGTGCAGTTCCTGTGCTTTTCGATGCCCTGCTAAAGCCAATGGGCACACACGATTCCTGCACTCCACTGATGCCTTGCTAGAGCCGCCAGGTGCATGCAATTCCTGCAGCCTATCAGTGTCCCGCTAAAACCAGAGGGCAAGCCCCACCCCTGTATTCTTGAGCTACACTACTAAAGCTGGTGGTTATATGCAGACCACACGGGACACTCTCCTTGACCGCCTGGTTCTGCTGGCCTAAGGGCTTGTATTCCTGAGTCCCACAGGACTGTAACAATCAGAGAGAGAGAGTTCTGGAAGGCTACCACACCCAAGACAATGTACAGACAGCAGAGTGAAACACAACCCCAGCCTCTCAACAGGCCTGGAACTTCAGCCTGAGGGGCAGACCTTGGATTTCCCACACATCTAGAGGCTATGGTAGTGCTCTCAGGGAACTCAGGCCAGGAGACATCATCTTTGTACTCTCCCTATGCCTCACTACAGCTTGCTGGTACCTCCCAGAGAAAAGTATATGCACTTGTTTGGAGCCTCAAGTTTTGCAACAGTAACCCAGGAAACACTTCCAGATTACCAGCTCTGGAGGCCAGCAGGGTTTATGATTGTGGTCTCTCAGGAGTGCATACATGAGCATACTTTGAAAACTATAACCTGAGCATCTGACTTCCATTCAGCCCAAAACTAGGTGCTGACTGAGATCTCTCCCTTCAGAACCTAACAGATCTTGGCATACCTTCAACAACTGGGACCTAGCAAGAATAAATCAGGCACTTAAATAATCACAAGGGTTCAAAAAACAAACAAACAACAACAAAAAAACGACTCCAAGAGCTAGGGCAAGATTGACAGACAATCTTGATATACACAAGGCCACTCCTTCGAAACAGGGAGAGGTAGGTGTTTTATCTAATGCATGGAAACAAACAGTGTCAAGCAAAATAACATATGTTCCAAACCACAAGGCCACTCCTTCGAAACAGGGAGAGGTAGGTATTTTATCTAATGCATAGAAACAAACAGTGTCAAGCAAAATAAGAGAACATATGTTCGAAACAGAAGAACAAGATAAAACCTCAGGAAAAAAACCTTAATAAAATGGATATAAGTAATTTCCCTTAAAGATAAAGAGCAAAATAATGGTCAAAAAGATGCTCACTGAACTTGGGAGAAGAATGGATGAACACAAAACTTTTACAGAGACAGAAAACAAAAAAAATACCAAACATAAGTCATAATAATTGAACTGAAAATAAGCTAGAGGGGTTTAACAGTGCAGTAAATGAAGCAGAAGAAAGGACCAGTGAGTTAGAATACAGGGCAGTTGAACTTGCCCAAATAGAGCAGAAAAAGAAAAAAGAATTTTAAAAAGTGAAAATAGCTTAAGGGACCTTTGGAACAACATTTGCATGATAGGAGTCCCTGGAAGAGAAAGAAAAGGGCAGAAAACTTATTTGAAGAAATGTGGCTGAAAGTCCCTAACTTGGAAAAGGAAAAAAAAATCCAGATCCAGAAAGTTCAGAGACTTCCAAATAAGATGAAACCAAAGAGAGGCACACAAAGATACGTTATACAGTAAGTAAATCTTCACTTAATGTCATCGATAGGTTTGCTTAAAGTTGCAGTTTCCAGGAACCTATGTATAACAAAACTAGATTTACCATTGGCTAATTTATGTAAATAAGAATCAAGTTTTTACAGCATACTTCTGGTCACAAGAATATCAAACTTCTAGGTAAAGACCCAAAAAACTGCTAGTATTAAACATTGAAATAAACATGAGCTACACATACATTTAATAAAGATTAATAAAAAGAAATAAGATAATTATTTTCCAACCCACTTATTCTAGTCCAGGGTCACAGGAGGCTGGAGCTCACAAACACACCTACACTCATACTGGAACAATTTAGACACATCAATTAATCTAATGTGCTATACCTTTGGGATGTAGGAGGAAACCAGATTAGCCAGAGAAAATCCATACAAACATGAGGAGAACATGATAATTCCACACAGACATTGGCTCCAGCTGGGAATTGATTTTTTTTCCTCATTAATGTTATAATAAAATGACATTGAATAAAATGATGTTATTCAAGGACTTGTTGTAATTAAAACTTCAAAAAGCTAAAAAGAAACTCCCAAAGCAACAAAAGAAAAACAAATCATTATGTACACAAAAACAAATGAAAAAAGCAAACCATAAGGCTATCGGATTTTTCAGCAGAAACTTGCAGGGAAGATGTGAGTGGTATGACATTTAAAATGCTCAAAAGGAAAAAAAAACTTCCAACCAAGAATACTCTGGTCAGCTAGGTTTTCATTCAGAATTGAAGGAGTTTTCCAGACAAGCAATAGCTAAAAGAGTGCATCACCAACTAAACCACCCTCCTAAGAAATTATAAGGGAATTCTTTAAGCCAAAAAGAAAAGGAACTAATTAGTAACAAGAAAACATACGAAGGTATAAACCTCACCAGTAAAAGTAAATCTATAGTAAAGGTAGTGGATTAATCACTTATAAAGCTAGTATGAAGGTTAAAAGATGAAAGTAGTCAAAATAACTATAACTACAATAATCACTTAAGGAATACACAAAATAAAAAGATAGAAATTGTCAACAAAAACAAAACATGGGAGAGAGGAGTAAAAATGTAGAAGCAAAAACCTATGGTAGATACACAAAAGATAATGAGAAAAATCCAAACAACACTAAAGTCATCAAACCATAAAGAAAGAGAGCAAAAACAGAGGAACTACAAAACAAGCAGAAAACAATTAACAAATGGCAATAAGTACATAGTTGTCAATAACTGCTTAAATATAAATGGATTAAATTCTTTAAACAAAAGACATGGGGTGACTCAATGAATAATAATAAAAAAAGACCCATCCATATGCTACCTACAAGAGACACTTCAGATGTAAAGGCACACACAGATTGAAAGTGAAGGGGTGAAAAAAGATGTTCCATGTAAATAGAAACCAAAAGAAAGCTGGAGTAGTTATACTTAATATTAGAGAAAACAGACTTTAAAATAGAGACTGTAATAAAAACACAATATTAGAGAAAACAGACTTTAAAATAGAGACTGTAATAAAACACAAGGAAGGGAACTGCATAATAAAGAGGTAAATCCAACAAAAGGATATAATAGTTGTCAATATGCATCCAATATACGTGCACCAAAATATATTCAGCAAGTATTAACAGACCTAAAGGGAGAAGCTGACAGCATACAATAATAATTGGAAACCATAATACTCCACTTACATCAATGGATAGATTATCCAGACAGCAAATCAATAAGAAAAATCAGCTTTAAATGACACATTAGATCAGATAAACATAATAGATATATACATAGAACATCCTATCCAACAACAGCAGAATACATGTTCTCAAGTGCAAATGGAACATTGTCCAGCATAGACCATAAGTTAGGCCACAAGATAGTAATAAATTTAAGAAGACAAATCATTTCAAACATCTTTTCCAACTACAATGGTATGAAACTAGAATTATAAGAAAAAACTAGAAAAATCACAAATATCTGGAGACTAAACAATATGCTGCTGAGCAACCAATGGCAGTAACAAAGAAATCAAAGGAAATAAAATATCTTGAGACAAATGAAAATGGAAGTACAACATACCAAAATCTATGGAATGCAACAAAAAGCAGTTCTAAAAGGGAAGTTCATAGAGATACAGGCCTAGCAAAAGAAAAAAGAAAAATCTTAATCTATCTTTAGATCTAAAGCAACTAAATAAAGAACAAATGAAGCCCTTAATTAGTACAAGACAGATAAGATCAGAGCAGAAATAAATGAAATACAAACTAAAAAGACAATGGAAAAGATTGACAAATCTGAGTTGGTTCTTTGAAAGATAAACTTTAGATGGACTCATCAAGAAAAAAAGTATTCAAATAAAGTCAGAAATGAAAGAACTGATACCACAGAAATAAGAAACATAAGAGATTACTATGAACAATTACATGCCAACAAGTTGTACAACTTAGGATACATTCCTAGAAACATACAATCTGAATAGAGCAATTACTAGTAAAGAGATTGAATTGATAATCAAAAGCCTTCCAACAAACACAAGTCCAAAACCAGATCACTTTGCTGGTGAATTCTATCAAACATTAAAAGATTTAATACCTTTACTTCTTAAGAATTTCAAAAAATTGAGGAGGAAATGCTTTCAAATTTATAAGACCAGCAGTACGAAATAGAAAACCTAAATAGTCTAGTAATAAGTAATGATTGAATCAGTAATTTAAAGTTCTCAAAAAATCAAAAGTCCAGGACCAGATGGCTTCAAAGGTGAATTCTATGAAGTATTTAAAAAAGAATTAATACTATCCTTCTCAAATTATTCCAAAAAATTGAAGAAGAAGGAATGCTTCCAAACTCATTTTATGAAGCCAGCATTCCTCAGGTACCAAAACTAGAAAAATACATAGAGGAAAAAGAAATTACAGGCCAATATCCTTGATAAACACAGATGCAAACCCCTCTCCAAAATATTAGCAAACCAAATTCAACAATACATTAAAAGGATCATATAGTCTGACTAAGTGGGATGTATTCCAGGGATGCAAGGATGGTTCAACATCTGGAAAATCAATATGATTCGTCACCAACAAAACCAAGGACAAAAATGATATGATCATCTCAATAGATATAAAACAAGAATTTGACAAAATTTAACACATATTTGTGATAAAAATGCTCAACAAAGTGGGTATAGAGGGAATATATGTCAATATAATAAAAGCCTTATATGACAAACCTATAGATAGCATCATACTCAATGGTGAAAAGCTGAAATTTTATCTAATATGAACAATTACAGAATGATCAATTTTGCTGCTCTTATTCAACATAGTATTGAAGTCCTAGCCAGCGCAATTTGGCAAGTAAAAGAAATAAAAGAGATCCAAATTGGACAGGAAGAAATAAAACTGTCACTATTTGTGGATGACATTACTTCATATATAGAAAACGTTAAAGACTCCACCAAAAAACTGTTAGAATAAACAAACTCAGTAAAGTTCCAGGTTATAAAAATCAATATACTAAAATCTGTTGCATTTCTAAACATAAACAACAAACTATCAGAGAAATTAAGAAAATAATCCCATTTACACGTGCATCAAAAAGAATATATTACAAAGCTATAGTAATAAAAACAGTATGGTACAAAAATTGGCATAAAAACAGACACGAAGAATAATGGAACAGAATAAAGATCCCAGAAATAAACCCACACATAGATAGTCAAATTATGGCAAAGGAGGCAAGAATATAAAATGGAGAACAATAATAAATGGTGATGAGAAAACTAGACAGCTACATGCAAAAAAAAAAAAAATGAAGCTACCACTGTCTTATGCCATACATAAAAATTTACTCAAAACAAATTAACAACTTAAATGTAAGACCAGAAACCATAAAACTCCCAGAAGAAAACATAGGTGATGAGATTCGTGACACTGGTCTTGGCAATGATTTTTTGGATCTGAATCTAAAAGTAAAGTCAACAAAAGCAGAAGTAAACAAATGGAACTAAAACTAAAGAGCTGCACAGCAAAAGAAACCATCATCAAAATGAAATGCAACCCATTGAATGAGAGAAAATATTTGCAAATCATATATCTGGTAAGGGGTTAACAAACTAAAGAGCTGCACAGCAAAAGAAACCATCATCGAAATGAAATGCAACCCATTGAATGAGAGAATATTTGCAAATCATATATCTGGTAAGGGGTTAATAGCCAAAATATATGAAGGATTCATATAACTCAATAACAAAATGTCGAATGATCTAATTAAAAATGGGCAAAGGATCTAAATAGATATTTTTCTAAAGAAGACATTTAGATGGCCAACAGCCACATAAAAAGATGTTCAACATCACTAATCATTAAGGAAATGTAAATCAAAACCATAATGAGATACCATCTCACACCCATTATGGCTATTATCAAAAAGAGAAGAAATAAGTGTTGGCAAGGACATGGAGAAAGGAGAACTCTCATGCACTGCTGGTGGGAATGTAAACTGATACAGTCCCACTATGAACACAGTATGAAGGTCCCTCAAAAATTATATATATAACTATCATCTATTTCAGAAATCCCACTATTATTCATCTGAAGAAAATAAAAACACTAATTCAAAAAATACATCCACCCCTACATTAGCTTAAGAGTATGGGCCAGTGAGTCTGATACACATTTTTCATATTTTATCATTTCTGAAATCAGAATCCTTAAAATAGAAAAATGGTAGATCACAGCTTAATAGACAGCATTTTCAGGTGCACATAAAATATGCAAGTTATAACCAATGGTGCCTTAGAAATCAATGAAATATGATATGTTGACTATCATCCTTCATTAACAATGGTAAGAAACAATATCTGACAACTAAGAAGAAGTTGGGTGTAACACTGAAAACAAAACAAACAAAACTTAGCATACCATTCTGGTTCCATTTTCTATAGAAAGGCAAACAACATTCTCTTCCATGTACCATTTTAAAAGTTGGAAATCAAGTACCAAATTAGATACTTTTAATTACCTTCAAAGCCATCATTATCAATGTCGCCAAGATTAACTATAGATTCTCCAAATCTTGCAGCATATTTGTCACTTCCAATGAGCTCTGTTTCCATCTCATTCATTACTGTTCCCTAGATTAAAAGGGACAAAGGTATCGTTGTAACACTCCCTGACAACTTTACACATGATTTACTGTTGTAATTGGGTATGGATTTTTTTTCTAACGCTTCAAACAAGTTAGACAAACTACAGACAGCTTTAGTACACACATCTCAGTTCAATTTAATAAATATTTATAAAGTATATGTCAACACATATAACAGTATGATTAGAGCTCGGAGGATGTAAAAATTGTTAAACTCATGATCCCTGGCTTTGAAAATTCAATAAATCATTTTGATAATTCAATTTAGCAAATATTTATTGAGTTCCTACTAAAGGTACTGTACTGTGCAAAGACTGAATGGGTGAAAAAGGACAAGGCAGTGTGTTTATAAGACATGCTCCTTTTCCTGAAGAAGCCCAGAGTAACAGACAAGGCTTAGCACAGGCATGTAAATAATTTAGAAGTACAGACTGCCTGTCAATATCAAGAAGCAAGGAGAGCATATCTAATTGTGAGAGCCAGGAGAGATTACATAAAGGATATTGAAGGTGGCTATCGAAGGATGGGCATAATTTTCATACAGAGAAAATGATCAGCAAAACAAATTTCAAAAAATTTGGCTACAATAAACAGTATGTATAATGAACAAGACCCAAAAATTCAGATTGGGGTCTTATGGTGTGGGACTTTTAATGCCAGGGGGAAATTTACTCTCAATTTTGAGAATAAGAAGCTACTAGAGGTTTCTGAGTTGAGGAGTGACATGACTGAAGCTGGCCATTGTAATCTTGTACCAGCAGCAATAGAACATGGATTGGTCAATTGCTATCTCCGAAGCTGGAAGATGAGTTATTAAAATAAGACATTCAATGATGTTGCGATAACAGATACCAGACCCTTTCCAAACCTGGATCATGTCACTCTCTTGTAGGGGGGAAAAAAATCCATGCACTACTCGTCCTAGATCTTTTTCCTCTGCTCAAACATGTCTACTCATCATTCCCTAAACACACTGCATGTTCTTCCCCTTGGCAAGTGACCTTCACCTTTTACTTTCCAACTAAAAAATTCCTATACTTGTCTTACTCCTAGAGAAATGCCTAATTTAAAGAGAAGGCGGGAGAGATTCCAGTGAGGATGAGATGGTGCAGACCTAAGAAAATGCAATGGCATTGAAGTTCCAGGAGGAGAGTTTCAAAAAGTGGTAATCACCCTTCAAGTATTCTTCGGTAACAGAGAACTGTGTCTGAAAGAGTTCCCTGGGGACCCCTGAGAGCTATCTTAGTAGAAGTAGGTGGAAGCCATATTCATTCAAGTATTCTTTGAGTTCATTCAAAAACAATTACTGAGTACCTACTTGTCTAGACTCTTTTGGACCCTGAGAAAACAGCAGTAAACAAGATAGATGATTCCTCTCCACATGGTGTCTACATTCCAGCAGAGGAACAGATATTAGCAAACCGAACCAATAAATATGTAATATAATGCCTTTGTAGTAGTGGTTAATGCCTTTTCAGAGAGGTAAGAAACAAGAAGTTAGAAGGGAACAAAGGAAAAATCTATGCCAGAGGTTTTAAAAGCTGAAATCAATTATGAAATTAACCCCAGTGTTCAACAGTGGTGTCTCAGGGTGGGAGGGAGGGAAGAACAAAAAGGAAGCCTTGTGGGTGGAGCTCTTCTCTTACCCTTTAAGCAAAGGGGCTCCAATCTTGTTTTTCATATTGAGATTGCTTAAGATTTCAATGAGAAATAAGGTTCTATATTCTCTTATTTTAGGTATCCACGCTACTATTTAAACTGTTCTCAAAAAGTTTAGTTGTAAAGAGAAGGAAAAGAAGTATGCAGAATAAGGATGTAGCTAGTATAAGGAAGACCATTTAAGGATAGGAAAATGTTAAATATCTATGCAAGAAAGTAATGCCTGATATCACTACCAATGAGGTATGAATGATCACTTTTGCCTTCGCTATTAAAATTTAAATAGTCTAGAAAATTCCAATGCAGAAATAACTTTCCTGCTCTATATTTGGAACTCTGAGAATCAGCTTTATAAGATGGAGTATTTTCTCTTAAATTTTAAAGTTTAGTCTGATGCTTAATATAAGAATTTATTGAATGCTCTAAAACCATTGATTAAATAAGATTACAAGTTCCTCCTTGAAAGAGACTTTACTTTGTTGAATCCTGATGGAAAATTCTGTGCCTTAAGAAATGAACTAATTTTCTCATAAAACCATTCTTGCTCTTAAATCAAAGGCAGGCCAACAAGGCCCTGTTAAGGTCCTATCAATTCTTTGTTTGGCTTAATGCCAAGAAGATAAACTGGCATCAGAACTCTTTAAATCAGAACTCTTTGAACTGAATTGTCAAGTGTTCAGTTTCTACTCCAAAATATCCTCCATAATTTAAAACTCAACCACAAGCAGTGATTACATATTTCTACAACTACTATATCCACTTTGGAATAAACTACATCAATTTTATATTCTTATCAAAAATGTAATCTATACTAATTGTGCAAATTAACATTTTATCAAAACATGTCTCATTTCCAATTGTCAAACTAAGAAATTAAAAATACTTCATAAAAATCTTCTACCTCTAGTAATATTTTATAATTTTCAAATTATATGAGGACATTCATTATAGAATAAGAAATCCATATTTTGAGGGCTATAAAAATCATTTTTCAAATTAGATTTGTGTCATAAAACTGGAAGACATTTTAATTGCTGGAGTAAACACATACAAGCTGTGAATAGTGAAACTCTAGAACTAATTTCATTCTTCTGGAATATCAAAATGAGACAGCTGCCCATTCATCATTACGTTCTATTTCTTTTTTAGAGAATCAGTATAATACAAGAATTTTCACTTTCATCAGCCAAACGAGCCTAAGAATCTATGCCTCAGAATTCTGGAATAAGAGGAGCTTCAGTTTCCATCATAATCCCATAAGTGGGAGCCGTTGGACTTACCGAGCCAGAATTGATGTACACGAACACTCTTCCTTCCTCCCTGATGATACTCTGCATGGGAGCTCCCACGAGCAGGTCTGAGAAGCCATCTGCATTGAGGTCCACAGCACAGACAGAAGCTCCAAAATAAGAGCCAAGCTGCCCCAAAGCAAACCAGATCCCGTCATTGAGAAAAAAAGCAGGGTTATTCACAAAAGCACCAGTGATACCAAAGTGGAGACATATTACCTTTTTACCTTTCATTTCATGTAAGATACTTAGTTCTTTTGCATCAATGCTGAATATGTATGCCTGCAATTGGGGAAAGAATTAGAAAATGTTAAACTGCTGTCACACTGTAAAAAATTTCATTTGATTGAAACATCAATTTTCATTACTTATAATTGCTTAAATATATTTAAAAAAATCCTTTTCAGAGTGATACTGAAGGTTCAGGAAACCACATTCACATTAACGTGCCTTCCTTGCAAAACTACCTTCTGAGAAACTACCTTATTGATCCTTGAGAGAGGACACAGAAAGCAGTTTGGCTCACTTTTCAAAGTAGGGCTCAGAAAAATTTAGTAACATCTATACAACAGTGTGACAATAACTAGAGCCAGAAATAACATCTTATTCTTTCTAGCCATAAAACATGTCCTAGTGGCCTCAATTTCCCTTCAGCTGAGAACTTGTTAAAGCAATAAATATATTCCCTGGACATCTTGAGATAATTCTCTCAAAAACAATTTACTCATGAGGAAGAAAAGCTTCATTTGAATTATATGATTTTCCTTAAAACTCTTCTAAATTTTATCTAAAAGCCATACAACTTTTACCAATTCCACTAAATGTAGCACATTGCTCATCGTTGCTAGCTTTCATTCCTAAGAATTTTTGCAGTTCCTCCTTTAATATCTAATTCTCTCATGCAATGTATTTGAACCTTTGTAAAGAAATAAATATAAAAATGTGTATCTTACTTTACCGATCTGCTCATGTTGAGGGGCTCCTCCAACTACTTCGGTAGTATGCCTGTTGCGAAAATGACCGGCCCCAACCGAGTATCCTTCAAAGAAACAGAGACAAGTATGAAAATCTCCATTTGCAATGGGTAAAATATATTATCATAAATCAACTAAGAATTAAATGAGACTGAATTCAACAGGACTAAACAGTTTAAATATTTAGCGAAGCAATATACAAAATTGGTCATTCATTATAAACTTTAAGCCAGTATTAATATGTATGTTATGAAATTAGTCACATGGATTGTATTTCTAAATCCTAGAAATTGAAGACAGCATCCTTACATTTGGTTTATTAGTCTCTGTAGTATCAGGATTCTAGGATTACAACAGAAATATTTCAGAGTATATAAAATGTGACATCTTACACTTTAAAAAAAACTTTTTTGCCATGAAGTCTTCCTATTGTGATAAAATTTTATGATGACTGAAAAGGGAAAGTATTTTTTTATTATGCAATAAAAGGCATAATACCAAGTTACGGTTTTATAATACTTTAAGATATCCTTCAACCATAAACAAGTAAATGTTGAATTGTAAATGAATTCCCACTGTTTGAAAATGCTTTCCTTCATTTGAATGGGAAAAAGTACTGCTTTTTCTTATCATAATTATGAGTATAGGATGCTCACATTTGAAGCACATATGGTTTAAGCAAATCTGTACTCTCTAAGAGACTACAGGAAAAGCATTCCTTTTACTATAATGAGAATTAATGCCAGAAAAATCTTGTGTTTCTGGAGAAATAAAGTGTCCTACTGATGACTTATTAAAGAATAAAATAAGATATGTAGATAATAATAGTTTAGCTCTGGAAAATATGCTAAGAACTTATGAGGCAAAGGTCAATGAGCTGTTTTTAGACCCATATGCTTCCTAATGTTCCCCATTGTCTAAAATGCTGTCAACAGTCCCATTGACTTTCAGTCAGTCCTTTAAGAAACTGTACTCAGTCATACATAATTGAGTTAATTCATGTAGAGTGCTTGTGAAAGTTCTAGGATATGGTAAGCACTCAATAGACGCTATCTTTATAATAAGTTGACTGCATAAAGATATAAGTTTAAGTGTTTTACTGCAAAGTGTAAATTAAACCAGGAGCTATAGTCTAACAATTATTTTTGATGATTGTAGTTCCATATGTAAAATATTAACTAAAGTTTCATAAATTATATTCTTAAAGAGAAAACTGGCTCTTTGTCACTGGCCACTTAGAGGTTTTGAAAATACAATTTCTCTTATTTATAATTACTAGTATCTGTAAGAAAGATTATAATTCGAGTGTCAAGTTTAACAGTACCTAAGTAACTTCCAAATTTTACTTGATTATCTTTGTCTAAAAAAGCCTTGTATTTATTTGTAGTTATATTGTAGACAAAAAGAGAGCCAGTCCAATAAGACGATCCTGGGGCACCCATCACAATTAAATCCTGTAAGAAAAAAACTATCGTCATTTAAAAGTTTAATCTCACCACCCAAAACCTCTCCCAGATATATATTTTAATAGTGACAATACATTTCTACAATAAATTTCTGAAATATGAGTATGTGAGCACATTAAAAATATATATATCAAAAAAAAAAAAAAGCCAGAGAAGATAGGTAATGAATTTTCACCTAAAAGTAGAATTTCAGAGAAGAAAAACTAAAACTCTCACTTCACATTTATCAGTGGACTTAGAAATCAAAGGTAGAATCACTGAACACTAGAGTAAGCTTTCAGGAGAAAGGCAATGTGATTTCTATTAAAGCAAATCATATCTGGGTAATTCATTAGTGCTCATTACAGGGATAATCATGTATTGTCAAAGAGTAAAAAGTGGACTTAATTTATTTCAATTTGTGAAAAGCCATTAGTTTCCTTAATGTTACTTTAAGAAAAAGTAAGTCCAATGGAATTTGGGGTATATTTGATGATTAATACAAATTTAGGGAAAAAAACAGGTTGGAATGAGCACACACTTAGCTGGTAAAATATGAAAACTTCCAGCAGTCAAACATCTTTAACATATTTCTAAATTCCTAAACAATCCTGAACTTTAAAAAAGAATCATTTAAAATATAAACTATGGAAGCATTATTTATTTTTTTACATAGTAGGTAATAGTTATGGAAATTGTTAACCCAAGGCATGATACAGACTGTCTACAAAGATTCAGAAAACATTCATATATTCATAATGAGTTTTTAAGAGAAACTGGGAGATTTTACAGTTGAGTATAACTGTCACCTTTCACTGAGAGTCACAGAATGACCAGTGTGGTCGACAGGGAATAATAGTTTGGGAATATATGTAATTTAAGAGGATATCAAGTTCCGAAATCTCCCAATCCTTTTAATGAAAAGTTTAGATTTATATGTTTCCTTCACCCCTCAACTATTAAGAAAAAATAACATACTTGTATAGATATTGTCAATGCCCAAATTAACGAAATAACTATAGCTATTTTTCATTTATATTCAATTCTTAATGAAAGTAATACTCTAATACAGGCTTTTAGTTAGACTTGGGTAGCGCTCATCTAAATATTTTCTCAAAATATGAAATATTGAGTGGTATAAATTAAGTTTAATACTGTACTCTCAAATATGAGACGTTATTCAGATCTTATACAATTTTTGCTGTAAAGTATAACATCAGTTTTCAAAATCTTTAGAAAAATTAAAATTCTATATGTAAACATTTATAGCAGCTATTTTTTTGGACTATTACCTCTGTATAAAAACTAGATATTCCAGCTTGACATGATGCAAAATTTTCTCCAAATTTCCTCACATAATCTAAAGTAAAAAAAAAAAAAAAAAAGTCAAAATTTTATTTAAAAATAAAGACAAGATCTGCATAATTTTAATCTTATAAATCCTTACAAATATATAACTTTTATGGTCGATATTTTACTCTACCTCATTCTTAAAATAGTAACTTTGATAAAATTTAAAACCTCAAACCTCTTCTTTATCAATCTTCAAAATATCCTTATGAAATAGCAATAAAGGTATCTACCCCTGACTCTTTTTCATGGGGAGAACATGTAGTGTACACTCAAGAAAAAACAAAACAAAAAAAACTGTCAAGTGAGTATCTAAGAAGTAGGATTTGTGGCTTCTAGTCCAGGTTTCTATTTAAAATAGGCTTCCCAGATTTTGCCCAGCTGAAAATAACAGGTTAAGTCAAGATCTGCATGGAGATGTAGGGTCTCTAATTACAAAGCCCACGTGGCCGGATGCTTTGGAACTTACTACGATGACAAAGTTTTGCTTCTCCTGAAGAATCGACATGAGTAAACCTTTATGAAAATCATAATCAGGACCATATCTTTGTTTTGGCTTTGCTAACTAGAAAAGTTAAATAAATTGTTAAGTCATTTATAATTACTATTCCCTGTCATGACTTTTCACATCTTTTTATATTTTCCTTGCCCCTATTTTTTTTTTCCATTTTTATAAATTTTGCCATATTAGGTGTCTTAGGTTTATGTCACCTGGAATATTTTATAGAATGTGGCTAGGTATATCTGAGCAAAAATAAGAACTCTATTGTGAAAATAAAGTGTAAACCATAAGCCATTAAGAAAAAGAGGATAATAAATACATGGAAAACTGAATTTTATTGCAATTAAAAATTTTAAATGCACTTTTTAACTTCTAGGCATCCAAAGGCAAATCAGGAATATATATGATAAAAATTATCCATGATTCAGTTATTAAAATAACTGAATTTGTATACTTGGTCAAAATTTTGTCAGGTAATAGAAAATTTCTTTGACACTAGGATAATTATTTTGGTTAGAAAAATTGAAAAATGGAATGCATATATATTTGAGTTTTTCGAAGACATTTTTAGAATTTTGCTTCTGTTGCTGATACCATTTTAACACTCTGTTGACATTCACCTCTAACTTTGCTCACTTCAGTTGTCTATTTATGTCCTAGCTCTATATGCTTTAATGCCCGTGGCCCAGAATTTTTTTTTTTAATTTTCCTCCTCCGCCGCCCCACTTCCACCCCTGGTCTAAGGATATTGCCATCTTCCCTTAAGAACTGGATCTCTGAAGGCGGAGCATCTCCTCTCACGCTCTGGGAGGTGGGGTGGGGTGGGCAGAGGGGGAGACTGGCGCACTCAGGGGGCCTGGGCCTAGGCTCCGCTGGGATTCAAACCCAGGACCTTCTGCCTGTAAAGTAGATGTGCTAACCACTATTCTATGGAACCACCCCAGCCTAGAATTTTTATGAGAAAACCTTTCAAACTTCAGATACCAATCCCTTGCTGTTTCAATGAAAACATGAATTTGAAAAAAAAGACAGTGAATGGAAAGTATTTGCTTACTCCGAATATTCTTTGAAGCTAAAGGTAAAGCAAGAAACCTAAACAGCTTCTTTCTGATTTGACTTCGATCTAACTTCATAATTTTAAGTGTACTATATTTTTTGAACATTAGACTCACTTATACTGAATTAAAATATATATTTAATACAAAAGTGGGTAATTATCAACTAGATTTTAGAATTATTTAAATTCAACTGTAGAATTTCTATTCCTAAAAACACGATGTACATTTATAAAAACAAATACTACTGCAATTGAATAAAAAAAGGAAAGAATACTTTGAGTAGTTAAAAAGAACACTACTATTTCAAAGATCTCCCCATACAACCAAAATTGAAAATAATTTTTAAAAAATTTAAAGATATTCATTTGTTTCTCTTGATCCAGTTAATATCAAAATCATGTCTTACCTTGATAACATGGAGCTATTCTTATGCTCAGTTTTGTTCTTAAATCAGAGGGTACTCCATAGCAAACACCAGTAGGAAGTTTATTTTCATTCTTTATATAAAATATATTTTTCCACCTATGCCCACAAGTCTGAATAAAACATAAAAGTAGACCAAATGATGTGAAAGTAACATCGAGAATTTCTGATTTCATGATGTGATCAGTGGACCAATTCCAATAACCTACCAATATGGATCCATTTTTTCCTGGCTGTCTGGAAAGTGTGACTCCCAACCATTGATTGTCTCTTTCTTCCAAACAAGTCTTTCCACAAGGTTCTCCACCAGGGCTACCTACAGCATTTGAAATAACGTTATCAGTTATCGTGAAAACCATACTATTCTACAAGAGCAGAAAAGATAAACACATCATGATTATCCCCAATGCCTTTTCCTTCGACCACATATGGAATGTCCTTATCCCCTGCTTCTCTATCATCTTATTATTCAGTGCACAATGTGGGGGTAACTGTGCTTTACTCTGTGCCAATATAACTGTTCTCTTATAAGTTGATTTTTATTTGTAGAAATGACTGGTAACAGTGTGAAGAGATGGCCTCGATATAGGAGATAGCTAACCAACATGATTAGGATGGAAGAAATCAGTTTAAGCCAACACAGGCTGTGAAAATACAATGGCAGTACGTAATGCTTGGCAAAGAATTTGCACCTTTGTTTTGACCAATTATCTAGCATTACAGGCAACATTACCAGAGCACTTTTAAGACATTTCTGGTATTGAGACATTAAATGCTGGTCCTTAGCATTTAAGACAGTTTATTAAAGCTGGAAGGTGATGACTGAGCATGTGGAAAGTGGCCCTGTATAATTAGCATTCCAATAATGCCTAGAAGTTAAAACAAATTGCCCTATGGTTTACATTTAGTAGATTGTGACTGTTCTCAACAATGAATAAAAGACTTGAAAAACTGGAAGTTATAAACTTCAATAAACACTTCAGCAAATGCATGAATAGCCAGAAAGACAAACATAAATATTATTCATGGGCAATATAGTACTTCTAAACTGCACAAGAAAAAGCGATCTTCCCAGTGATATATATATATATTTTTTCCTTTGTTAGAGTGACTTCTTTGCCTTATAGCTGGGATACAGTATTAATTTCAATTAAGTGATTTTGGGAGAGGAAAAGATGCAGTATCTTAAGAATCTTTTTGTCTTTATTTTCACCCTCTTCAATTGCCATGTGACAGTTCTATTCCACCTGAGCTTAATTCCAAAGGCAGGTAAACAAATCTGCATCAATCTGATTGGATAAGGATGTGGAACTTGGGTTTCTTAATTTTAAACACTGGTCACTGGTATCAAGTTTTCATACATTTATAGGGACCATTCTCTAAATCATTAGGCACTTTATCTCCTCCTATAAATGTGACCTCTAGATAAAATTTCCTGAACAAACTCAGAATACCTACATAGATAAGGCTAACATTTTGAAAATGAAATTATTTGCAGAAAATCTCCTGGGTAGCAGAGACCCTGTTTTAAGGAGTATAGAAAGATGCAGGTATATACATTTGTTCTCCAAAATGTTCAGGACAAACAAAACCCTTCAACACAGCTGAAAACAAGAACGTTTCCTCGTCCCTTCTCTGAAGATTGATTCATTAGGTCCAGGTGAGGCCCTGATGACCCCAGGTGATTTGGATTGTCTGGAACATTGTTACAATAGGATGTGGATAATGTTTTTCTGGCCAGGTTCCTCACAGAATAGTATCAACTCCCACCCACTGGTAGTGGCTGCTTGGAGCACTGGACTGAAAGGAAGACAGGACTAGGATGGGTCTGGAAGAAGAATGCTAGGGTTGATTAGCAATGTCTGGAATGGAAAGGCAATCTTTCTGATTAGCAATGCTTGGAATGGAAAGGGAATCTTTCTGCAGCCCAAACTCTGATAAAGATGGTCCCGGTAGAAACAGCAGATTTCTATGTTAAAACTAATAAAGAGAAAAAGGAAGGGGAGAGGGACGGAAAGAGAGAGGAAAACAATTGTGTTGTGTTGGATGGGTAAGGTCCAACAGAGAATTGTTACTGCGACTACATGATGCCAACATAATTGAAGGAAAGTGGAAGAATGACAAAACATTTTAACTTCCATTGTAATGCAATTTTCAGTTTGACTTTTTCACTAAAACTACTTTTTTTTTTAAACTAATGTCAAAATAGATGCTAAATGGTAGAAGTTTGAAATTTGAAGTTTGAAGTCTGAAGTTTGAAGTTTCTATTATTTACCACAATAGACACTTCAATGAAATATCCTCTATGAAAATACCGAAGTCTTCTAAATTTACAGACACCCAGGAAACTGAGCAGGAGGAAAATTAAGGACAAGACATGAAGGTAACAACACAGACCTCTATTAAAATGTGGAATATTTAATGGACACTTTCATCAAAATTATAACCCAATATTTGAAACAAATTTACTGTTCTAGAGATGCCACCTGAAAGTTTAAAAATAGTTAAATACGTGATAGTTTAGAACCATACAATACCATGTAAATTGCTGGATAAAAAGGGCTAAGTTTTTATGTGTACAAATAGTGAATTGTTATTATCTGTTTCTTGGTTGAGTTCTTGTATTTTTAAGTTTTTAAATGAAGACTAGAGAAATGCCTGTGATTAAATTGTTTTCTGGAGCCATAGATAATTTCATATTGTATCCTTTGTTTCAGTTTTAGCTCCACCAGGTGACATCACGATGTCACCACGCTCAGTCTCAAACTCACACTCAGTCTCACACATTTCATATTGTATCCTTTGTTTCAGTTTTAGCTCCATCACGATGTCACCACACTCAGTCTCAAACTCACACTCAGTCTCACACACATCATTACCAAACTACTCACTTTCCCACTTTATCAATGTCGCTTCCCTCAAACATCTTCCACTCCATGTCTGAGTATCTACAAGATCTCTGAGACACCAATGCCCCCTTACACCTCGCATACCCTTCTTCTCAAGCCTTTGGCCTGAGATACACCATCAGCTTTCCTGCTTCTTCAGCTTACAGATGGCAGATCATGGGACTTTCTCAGCCTCTGTAACTAAGGGAGGCAATTACTATAATAAATCTCCTCTTAGATAGACAGACGGACAGATCTATCTACCCAATTGGTTCTGTTCTCTGGTGAACCCTGACAAATACAAGTACCAGTATATTTATTCACAACTATCCTGTCTGCTTCCGAGGCTTAGTAAATAAAGACCTAATTTATTTTGACCAGAACTGCATCTGTTCAGCATGAGCCCACCCTCAACACAAATCCCAGAAATGTGTGCTCAAAACAGGTCAATAAATGAAAAACAATTTAAAGCTTTGACTGTGGTTTGACTGCCTTCTGTTCGGTTTTTTTTTTTTTGTATCTTAATTAGAAATGTGAGTCCAAAAGGATGAATGCATAGGCAAAAAGGAAATTCACATAAATAACAAAATCACGAACAATTATCCTTCCACATAAGAAATAAAAACTAATTCTAATAAGTGAACAGACACACAGACACATTAACACAGGTTTCTCCTTTTTCACTTCCTAATACAGCTTCTGCCAGCAACAATAATACTGAGGTACTTTTAGGACTGGTCAAAAGATAGGATCAGTTCAAAGAACAGCCTATAAGTCCTCACTACTGTTCTGAGTCTTTTCCTAATTTCTAGGAATTTTTTTTACCGTTTTCTTCTGTAGTGTCTGCAGAATCTCGGCAGAGAGGTATAGCCTTCCCATCGTCAGCTTATGCTCAGTGCCTTTCTCCAGAGCTTTCCCTTAACCTCGCTTGATCCTAAATCCACTCTTTTATCACGTGGTTCTCGGCCTTGACAGGACATTAGGAACATCTGGGGGGAATTCTGAACAAATGCCAACACCTGGATCTCACTCCCAGAGGTGCAGATCTGATGTGTCCGGTTTGAGACCCAGATATCAGAATTTTTTGTAAAGCTCCCCAGGTAGCTGTAGTGTGCAGTTGGGCTGGTGAGCAACTGCCCTACAGTGTAAATGGTTATGCCTTTTCCTGTATTATATCATATTTAAAAAGGAACTATTTCCTTTTAAAAAAGAATAATAATAGCTTTTTGGTCCTTTTTGGTTTCAGCTAGATATTGAAACAGGATATCAAATGTTAAGCAAATTTTCTTCATGTGGAAGTACAGTATTTCTAATTTGGTCAGAAATGATGATTATTAAAACTGTCATGAGGAAGATAATTCTCATGAATTTCCCTGACAGAGCATTATAAATAAACTCATATTATCTTTATATTTTACCAAAATGTCATACTGAAATGATTTATAATCTGGTTTTCAACTCAGCTCATACATTACTAATCTAAACTCGGTAAATCAAATCAGCTTCGTAATTGAAACAGTACTTTACATGGTCTAACATAAAAGAGGTCAGCAGAAATTAACATGTGATAATTTTCCATGCTTTTGTACAACTAGAATGACTAATTCTTAGTGGGGCTGAATGCATTTTCCCCAGTAGACATTAAAAATACAAAGCCATATTAAAACCATACCCCTTATTCTAATACGTAAGCCTATCTTTCTTTTTTCGTTTTTGTTTTTCATTTCAAGAAAATATAAAGATGTGTGCTTATCTCTTCAGTTTGTATGTCCATATACTGATTTTGCATTAGTACACATATGTGTATATAAATGTGAATAAGCAGTCATTTCAATAGTTGACTGTAAAGGATGTTGACTGTAAAGTGTAGCTAGAGCTAATTAGGTACACTTTATACCTCCTCCTCCCTGCTTCATATCACCAGGGCAGGTTGACCATTTTGTTGCCTGTGGCATTCTCACAGTACAGAATAGGGCCTTACGAGCAGAAGGCAGGAACAAAATATGTACTTGCTGAGGGAGGGAATTCTGAAATACATTACACCACCACAAAAATCTTTCACTAGATTAATAATCCTTTACTGCAAAAATTTCACCAAACTCTCAGGGATCTAAGCTTTGGAGAGATCTTCCTTCTCTACTATTCTCTTCCAAAATATTATTCCCTTAAGTTTTAAGACAGTAACAGATGGTCTGAAGGGAAACTGTTTGCAGGTTTGAGGGTCTTTACAAAGTGTAATAAGTGAGTAGGACTCTTTAAGATTGAGATAGCTGGGGCCCACAGGAGGTGCCTATCTCAGAGCCTTTCTGCAAGGATTATGGGGAGTAAATGAGATCTGTGTGAAGTGCTTTGGCCAGAGCCTAGCAGTGAAAGCACACAGATGTTAGTTGATGTTTACATTATTATTATTTTGAGGATTAAGCTAAAC